GAGGGGGGAGGCCGAGCAGAATTGGCGCCACAAACTCCCTGATCGGCCAGCCCTGGCCCCTTCCCAGCCCTCGCCTTTGATCTCTTGACCATCTGCCCTCTGCATCTGCCACTGAATACACTTCCTTTTTTTCTGCTCTGGCCTAGGCAAGAGCTGAAAAAAATATAAAAATCATAATAATAATAAAAATCATGGTTGAAGCTAGAAAAGAAACCGGATTTTTTTTTTTTTGTCTTTAAGTGGAGGAAATATTTTTCGCATATTATCTGAGTATAAAGCTGTGTGTTCTCATTGTAAAATAATTCAAATAATAAAGAAACATAGAGAGGGGTGCCTGGGTGGCTCAGTCGGTCGAACGTCCGACTCTTGATTTCGGCTCAGGTCATGATCTCAGGGTTCGTGAGTCTGAGCCCTGAGTCAGGCTCTGTGCTAATAGAACAAAGCCTGCTTGGGATTCTCTCTCTCTCTCTCTCTCTTTCTCTCCCTCTCTCTCTCTCTCTCTGCTCCTCTTCCCCACCGCACACGCACACACTCTCTCAAAATAAATAAATAAAACATTTTAAAAAACAAAAGAAACACAGAGAGTTGGAAATTGAAGTTCCAGTAAACCTCCCACCCTCAGGGGACCCACCTTCTCTTTTCTCCCAAAAACAGCACTACCAATACTTGGGAATTATTCTCCCAAACTTTCTCAATACGGGCCTAGGGGCACTCACACAAGATATGTTCATTGTATTATAATTTTCTTTTTTTATAAAAATGAGATCGTATCATACATTCTGTAATACGGCTTCTGGGACATCTTTCCATGTCGTCCCATTCGGGATTGTGCACTGTGTCATTGAACGGAACACCTATGCAGTGAATCATTACCTTTCTGACCGTCACTGAGGATGATTTCAGTGTTCGATTATCACCCGTGCTACAGCAACCGTGTTTACAAACCTCAGCATAGCCGTCTGCTTATTTCTTTAGGATAAGCGAGTAGACACGGAAGCACTGATTTCATTTTGTGGGAAACTGAGGCCCAGAGTGGGTAGGTGAGTTGACATGGGTGTCTAACTTCGGGCTCAGTGCCACTTTCATGCCCAGCGTAAAGACCCTCGGAGAGGCCAGCCAAGCTCAAACCGAGTCAGCGAGGCCCCGGGGGGAGGAGGTGCAAACCCAGAAGGCACGCCAGCACCTTCCGTGGAATGGGTGTTTTACGGGGAAAAGAGACTCAGAAGCCAGAGCTACTTAGCCTGAATGGGGGCCTTTGCCCGTGGGCAGAATTTCTGCAAGACAGCCACAAGACTTCGTCATCAACACTTGGGTAAATGGGGGGTGGGGGGGCCATGGGCCTGCCAGTGGCCAATGAAACACTGCTGCTGGGTCGGAGCACCAAGATCTGCGCTTCTAGGTGAAGTGGATATCGCGGATAATCCAAAAACCATTTCTCTCGGGCACGGACTGGCACCATTATAGCTCTTGCAAAAGGTTTATACTCTTAATAATGCTCTCCTTAGGCCACCAGTTACAAAAGAGCTGGCAATCTTTGTGAAATACCAAAGTGAATGAAGAGGGTGTGGGGACGTGCAAGGACTTTCTGGAGCACGGTGAGCAGGGGGTGGGGGTCCCTACCTAGATGACATCTAATTTGACAACCACAAATGATTCTATTTTAAAGTAACCCCCTTCGGGGAAAATGGCACGGTGAGGGTGCTGTCACTCTCCCACTTCGGGTTAGAGGTACCACCAGCGTCCCAACCCAGCCCTGTACCTCGTATTCCTGTGGGTGTTCTTCACGATCAATATCAGAACGGGAAGCAGCAGGATAGTGCCACAGACAATCCCCACAATGATCACCAGCTGATTACCACCCAGGATCTCAGGTTTGAGGGCCGTTGGGGTCACCAATGCTTGGGAAAGGAGACAAGCAAGTAGAGGGTCTCAGTGTTTCGGGAAAAGAGCTGAGAGTCCCACAAGTTCTATACCAAGGAGCAACAGCCAAGTCAGGAAGCTGGGGGAGAAAGCCAGACTCCACCCCATGTGGAAACCCTGGGACTCCAGCGGTCCCCATTAGATGGAGAGCCAAGTCTGGCTCCCTTGCTCACCCCTACAGTACAGATCAAGGTGGGTGGGAGAAGAGACTAGCACCTTACCTACAGCAGAGTTTCCTTTTACATTAACAATTCTATCTTAAAATAAAACAACAGATGCTTCAGAGGCTGTAGATCTTTCTATGAGAAAGTGGTTGCTTTCAAAAGGATAGATGCTACAACACCCAGCCTCATAGTCAGAATGCCAAGTAAGGCCTTCAGGGGCACTTCTACCCATATGGCACCCCTCATTCATTTCCTCATGTCCCTCTAAATACATACGTAAACACCTCCTGGGTGCCAGATATCACTAGGCACGGAAGCTCCAGAGACAACGCGTGGTCCCTAATCTCAAGAAGAGGGACAAACACATCGACAGAGAACCACAGACTGCTCTAGGTGCTATGACGGAAGTCCACATGGGGCACAGAGGGGCACAGAGGAAAAAGGGTACCCACTTCTATGGGGGGCAGATGAGAATTCCTCAGCAAAAGTTTTAAAGTTTAAAACCCTTGAGGAAACATCAAGTTTGCTGGGCAAACGATATGGGGAAGGATGGGCGGGGCACAGTATGTGCAAAGTCTGGAGGCCCGGCAGGATGGTACATTCAGAAAGTAGAAATCGTTCTGGGGGTCTGGTTCAAGGTTGCATTCGTGGGTACGGTGGAGAGTGAGGCTGGATAGATAACAGAGTCCCCAGTCGTGAAGGGCCTTGATTATCCCAGCCAGGAGTCTGGTTTTTGTTTCCGTGGACAATGGAGAAACCACTGAAAGATTACAAGCACTGGACAGAACGCGGAGATCTGTGATTGACAGGATGGCACAGAGACAGCCAGAGCCTAGCATAGGACTGGAAAGAAGGCAGACCCAAAATCAGTAGTAGACATGACAGGACCTGTTGACCTGTTAGATTGGAGGTCATGGGAAAGGGAAGAATCAGGCACAACTCCCAGGCATCCGGCTAGGTAACCGTGTAGATGGTGACGGCGTTAACGCAGGTGGAGGAGATAAGCTGGAGATGAGCTGTGGAGACGTGTGCAGGGGCAGGTTTGGATGTGTTGCGTTTGAGGAATTTGTGGAATATCTGGCTAGAATTTGGAAGGAAGGAAGGAAAGGAAGGAAGGGAGGAGGGAGAGAGGTAGGAAGGGATGGAGAAGGGAGGGAAGGAGAGAGGAGGCAAGGAGGGAAGAAGAGAAGAAGGGAACCCAATATAATATTTACTGAATATAGAGAGGATGCAGTGGCCAATCCTACTCGGGTAAAGGCGACTGAGGACGGGCGATTAGAGTACCATTAGTGATGTGAGGTAAGTAGAGGCAGGAGCAGAAGACAGGTTGCAGTGCACTCAGGAATTCATTGGAGGTGACAGAGGAGACACCACATTCAGCCTCTGAGCAAACTACTTGGCTAAGTCAAGAAAGAAAGACACGACTGATTGCGGTGATGGTCGCACAACTCTGAATTTTCTGGAACCCCTGAGTTGCATGCTTTAAATGGGTGAGCTGTACGGCATGTGAGTTGTGTCTGCTTTAAGAGAGAAAAAAAGACACAGGGTGCGAGCTAAAGTAGACGAGGACAGAAGGTAAGAGGAAGAGCTGAGCGTATTTATAGGCCGAGGAGCAGAAGCCAGTAGAAAGCACGAGGTTCCCGAGGGGGAGAACATGTCACCTGAGCACGGAGGTTCGGATCAGCCCGGGGCGGAAGGGAGCCTTGGGGGGCAGGACGGAGGTAAGGAGGGGGGCAGATGGAGGTAGGCCTGCGGGCGGGGAGGCCTTGGAGGTTGAGCGAGCCCCCACTAATGGCGTGTATTTCCTCCGTGAAGTGGAAAACACGACTTCATGTTCGTGAGGAGGTGAAGAAAGCCATTTGTCCTCCTTCTCTCTCCGGCTGGGAGCCTGTGCTGTTACAGGGAGGTGCTTCCATCGACCCAGATCTCTGGTCAGAGGTACCGAGCTGTGTTCTGGCCTCCTTCACTTCCCCGCCCCCAAAAAACCGCAGCCAACCCCCAGCGAAGGGCTCTAGCGAAAGGCAAAGTCCACAGGCCACATCCTGACTGTTACCTGTGCTCTGGTTTAACTTTAACCCCTCACCGATCACCCTCTCCGTCCACACAATCGAGTCTTTATTCTCCCACATACCACTGGCTTTAATGCTTTAATGCACAGGGTTGGCCAGAATACAGAAAACGCCTCTGTTTGGGGCTCCGGTCTCTTCCTGTTTTCTCTCTGTTCGGTGCTGTCTCTCCCCAGCTCAGGGTCATTTTCCCTCCCACTACGGAGCATACAGCACCCAAGTAAAAAGTGACTTCGGACACCAACTCCAATCCACCTCTGAGCTCCTGTACCTTTCCATCAGCCTATCACACCGGCAACGAGTGAGTTCTCGCAGAAGGCGTGTGTTCACCAAATACCAGCTCCCTTGACCTTATACATCCTCAGGGCCAGAACTAGAGCGAGGCAAGCAAGGTGCCTAGGGCTCCAAATGCCACTGGCAAGGCCACTGAAGTCCAGGGCACAAGCACTTGTAAGAGACAGACGCCCCCTGAAATTCTGCACCCTGAATGCCTCTCTGGCCTCACCCTAGTCCCGGCCATGCCCACCCGCTACGAGGCCCCCCATCCCTCCCCAGCCGAACGTCAGATACTTCGGGGCTCTTTCAGGATCACGTGCAGCACGGTGGTTTTCTTGAAGGTCAGGTTCCCCAGGTGGATACTGCAGGTGTAGCTTCCTCTGTCAGACTCCCGCACTCCTTGGAGCATGATAGACGCATCATTGCGGGAGGTGTCCCCCACCAGGGTTACACGGTTCTGGAAGCGGCCCCGGTTCTGGGGGTTCCCCACAGGTACCCTGAGTTTGGAGTGATAACGTAACATAACCTCCTCCTAGAAGGGAAAGGCAAAGTATGAGTTTGCAAAGACCAAGGGGGTCGGGGCATGGGCAAGGTTGAGTGGGGGGCTCTCAGGACGTGCAGGGCCCTGTGTGTGTGGGCAGTGAAATATCAGACAACATGAGGCCATGCACACACACAGGGGCACAGCCTGTGTCACTGTGAAGGACACCACCGAACCGTGAACGCCTGTCCCCTGGGCAGAAAAGGATGAGGAAAGTGGCACAAGAGGCCTTCCCTTCCCATAAAAGGAAGCACAAGGGCCCCTTGACTTCTTACGGCACTCCCAAGTGGATTTCCGACAGACCCTGGAAACACGTCTAAGACTAAATTCCACATTCTTCCCCCAAACCCAGCCCCTTCCAGTCCATCCCACTTTGGTAAGTGGCAATGTCTTCTTCCAGATGCTCCGGCCAAAAATCTTGAAGTCATCCTACTAAACTCCTCACTTTCTTAAACTCACATGGAAAATCCCTCAGCAAATCCTGTCACCTCTGCCTTGAAGATATATCCCAAATCTAGCTATTTGTCACCTCCTCCCATGGTTACCATTCTGACCCAGGCCACCGCATCTCTCACCTCAATTCCTGCAATAAGCTTCCTTACTTGTCTCCCTGCTTTCTCCAAACTGGTCTATTCTCAGCAGATGAGCCCTTAGAAATAGAAGTTAAGGGGCGCCGGGGTAGCTCAGTTGGCTAAGCGTCCAATTTCGGCTCAGGTCATGATCTCGCGGTTTGTGGGTTCGAGCCCCGTGTCAGGCTCTGTGCTGACAGCTTAGAGCCTGGACCTGCTTCAGATTCTGCGTCTCCCTCTCTGCCCCTCCCCCATTCACGCTCTGTCTCTCAAAAAATGAATAAACGTTAAAAATATTTTTAGGGGCGCCTGGGTGGCGCAGTCGGTTAAGCGTCCGGCTTCAGCCAGGTCACGATCTCGCGGTCCGTGAGTTCGAGCCCCGCGTCGGGCTCTGGGCTGATGGCTCGGAGCCTGGAGCCTGTTTCCGATTCTGTGTCTCCCTCTCTCTCTGCCCCTCCCCCATTCATGCTCTGTCTCTCTCCGTCCCAAAAATAAAAATAAATAAATAAATAAATAAAAAACGTTGAAAAAAAATATTTTTAAAAAGGGGCGCCTGGGTGGCTCCGTCGGTTAAGTGTCCGACTTCAGCTCAGGTCATGATCTCGCGGTTTGTGAGTTCGAGCCCCGCGACGGGCTCTGTACTGACAGCTCAGAGCCTGGAGCCTGCTTCGGATTCTGTGTATCCCCATCTCTCAGCCCCTCCCCTGCTCATGCTCTGTCTCTCTCTGTCTCTCAATAATAAATAAATGTTAAAAAAAAAAAAAAGGAAATAGAAGTTAAATCACGTTACCCCTCTACTCAAAACCCTCCAATGCCCCCTCCCATTTCTGCTAAAAGTACAAGGCCCTCCATGATCTGCCCCGCTCCATTTTCCTCTCTGATTTCATCTTACACTTTTTCTTCACTTTACCTCTTCGGGTCACTTCACCACTTCATTCTAGCCACACCGGCCTCTTTGCTCTCCTTGAGTACTGGCCTCAGGGCCTTTGTACTTTGTGCTCCCTATGCCTGGGACATCCCTCCCTCCCAAAATACACATGGTTCACTCCCTCACTTCAAATCTCTGCTCAAATGTCATCTGTTCAGTGAGGGCTCTCTGACCACCTATATACAGTAAGAACCACAAACGTCTGCCTTCTTGTTCCTCATAGCTCTTACTAATACCTGACATAGCATATATTTGTTTCCTCATTATTTTACTGTATATATCCCTTGATCTTGACCGTAAGTCTCCCATCAGGGCAGGAGCCGTGAGTGTTTGCTACATAGGTGCTTAAAATACCTGTTAAATGAGTAAGTAAATACCTGTTAAAGGAGCCTGCTTAGGATTCTCTCTCTCTCTCTCTCTCTCTCTCTCTCTCCTCTCTCTACCCCTCCCCCACTCACCCTGTCTCTGTCTCTCTCAAATAAATAAATAAACTTAGAACATTTTTTAAGGCTTTTAAGAAAAGGAAATGGGTATACGGATACAAACATGGATGCGAAACCTCTCTGTGTTTTGAATTCACAGCTCGAAAGGCTCATTCTCAACCTATCTTCTGCAGTGACTCACTTAGCAGTTGACATCTCAACGCACGACAAGCTCCCAGAGGTGAACCTGGGGCCACATGTAATTCCCCATGTGCCACCATGAGGCCCACTCAGACGGCAAACAGGAATCGAGGGAGTACAAATGACTTTTCAACAGAGGTGGCTGGGAATATGTCTTAATTTAGAAAAGATAAATCTTTTATAAACTTTGCACCTTAATTTTTATTAACAGTAACCGACCTGGGATATCCCCCGCAGCGCACCTTGCCCCACGTGTACATCAGCAGGCACAAAGGACGCCTATGGTCTCGTGAACTCACCCGTTGCTTGCACGCAAGTTCCCATGAACTAGTCTGCGCGTTGGCCCCCAGGACCTACTAATGCCAACGCCTGAAGCACCCATAGAGACAAAGAAAATTCCCTCCATCCCAGAAGTGGGGCAGCGGGGCACAGAAGAAAACTTATAAAAATAACCGAAATTGGGGCGCCTGGGTGGCGCAGTCGGTTAAGCGTCCGACTTCAGCCAGGTCACGATCTCGCGGTCCGTGAGTTCGAGCCCCGCGTCGGGCTCTGGGCTGATGGCTCGGAGCCTGGAGCCTGTTTCCGATTCTGTGTCTCCCTCTCTCTCTGCCCCTCCCCCGTTCATGCTCTGTCTCTCTCTGTCCCAAAAATAAATAAAAACGTTGAAAAAAAAAATTAAAAAAAAAAATAACCGACATAAAAATAAGAATGCAACGATTCTTATGCCCAGCCAGGAGCTTAGACACAAGGCCACCAAAGTCAACCCCCCTCATTCTCCCACGGACTCTACAAAGAGAAGGGAAAAGAGGAAGGAAACCAAAAGGCAGTGGCCAAGTCACGTACAAATGCTTTGCACGGACGATCCAGTACACGTGTCTCCACGGCCCTAAAAGCTGAGCAGGCAGCAGCAGCAGCAGCGAGAATATCATCCTTCTCCTCTTCCTCATCTGCATCAGAGCCATTTTTCCCACCAGGAAGCTAAAGTTGCCCACAGCCAAGTGGCTGAGCTGAGGCCCAGTTCTGACAAGCTCCGAAGCCCAGGCCCTGCAACACCACCGCACGGCACCCGCTGCCCCGATTCCCCCTGCCCCCACACCGTCCTGACGCCATCCGCCAGGGGCTTCGACAGCACAGCAGTGGTGCTTTCTCCTTTACCTCGGCATGCTCTCCTGATGAGAACGTCCAGTCTACCTTGGTCATGCGTTTCTCTCCTGTGCTCTGGAGAACACAGCTCAGCTGAGTCGAATCACCCACATGGGCCATGAGCTCTGGGGATAAAAGGGTAACTCAAGTCAAACCCAAGGTATAATCTACAGAAGTCAAAGAACTTCCAGAAGAGATCATGTTTAGCCAAAGATCCGCAGCCATAAAATCAATGCCACCCCCCAAATACCGCACACATTCACTCCGCAGATGAGCCAGATGATCCCGTGTGGACAAAGCACTCAGAGGCCTCTCACTCACATGACACCCCACAGCTGAGAGAATACCCGTGGCTACCCACACACGTCAACTCTGAGGGGTCTTCAATCTACGGTAAACACATTCTGATTCCCTTTAATTCCCTGCTCCTTCCCCTTTTCCAGAATTTCTCTCCAGTCCCAACTCAACTTCAGGTTTATACTAAAGAAAGGACAGAAAATCTTGAAGCCCCCTCTTTCTTTCTTCTTTTTTCGAAGCCCCCCTCTTTCCGATCACCGGCTTAGAAGCCCACATCTGCCGAACATAAACAGGAAGTGGAAAGTTATATAATTCTCATGCTTATATATAACCCACCGGCTCTTTGAGCTGAAAAACTGAATCACGGGTGACTTTCTTCAATTTCTTTCCTTCTTTTTACAGGTTGTCTTAGGACTGGCTTAAGACAGCGCTGGCTATGGTACAGGTCACAGGACTGCTTGCTAATTAGGCCAAGACAATAGACCGCTTTTCTCTTGGCTTGTCTGTTTTTTTTTTTTTTTTTTTAACGTTTATTTATTTTTGAGACAGAGAGAGACAGAGCATGAACGGGGGAGGGTCAGAGAGAGGGAGACACGGAATCCGAAACAGGCTCCAGGCTCTAAGTGGTCAGCACAGAGCCCGACGCGGGGCTCGAACCCACGGAGTGTGAGATCGTGACCTGAGCCGAAGTCGGCCGCTTAACCGACTGAGCCACCCAAGCGCCCCTGTCTTTCTGTTTTAATCCCTGCCCCCACTCCCCCGACAGATTCCCTTGCCTCTGGCTTCCCAACTTCTAGACTCTTCTTTCTGCTTTTTTTGTACGCGCAACTGACCCCATCATGTGTTTACTGCGTAAATCATTTCAAGGGGCCACTGGAAAAAAAAAACTAGCAAAATGATTCTGATTTTTCAAGAATACGCTACACAAATCAACCCCAAGGTCAGTTAAGAAATGAAAGGCAGGATGGTGTTTGGGGAGACACAAACCTAGGGCTTAAAGCATTAAGCAATGCTCATGAAGGAGCAAACGTGGGGCATAAGCCGATCTTTTCATCCAAATTGTTGCTCTGGGGGAACATGAACTTCCTGCCCAGCAGGGGAGATGCACAATAGGAGGAAAGCAAAAGAAAATATTATGAACTTGAAACTCTATGGAGGGAGTCATTTTGAAAGTAACAGAAATTCACTCCAAAGAAGACGGATAGGGAGGGAAGGTCCCCCTAAATCCAACAGCACATTAAGAGCTGAACTCTATTTTTTTTTAAGTTTATTTATTTATTCTGAAAGAGAGAGAGAGAGAGAGAGAGAGAGAGATGGCAAGTGAGTGGGGAAGGGGAGGCAGAGAGAAGGGGGGGCAGGGGGAGAGGAGAGAGAGAGAGAGAGAGAGAGAGAGAGACAGAATCCCAAGCAGGCTCTGCACTCTCACAAGGAGCCTGATGTGGAGCTCCAACTCACCCCGTGAGATCATGACCTGAGCCGAAGTTGGACGCTTCACCAACTGAGCTCTATTTTTCTTTAAATTTTTTTTTTTTTAACGTTTATTTATTTTTTTGGGACAGAGAGAGACAGAGCATGAACGGGGGAGGGGCAGAGAGAGAGGGAGACACAGAATCGGAAACAGGCTCCAGGCTCCGAGCCATCAGCCCAGAGCCTGACGCGGGGCTCGAACTCACGGACCGCGAGATTGTGACCTGAGCCTAAGTTGGACGCTTCCCCAACTGAGCTCTATTTTTCAAATGCAGTAAATATAACTGACCCATTCTGCACCTTTCATTGCACCAGGCATGTGCCAGACACGGTGTGTGTAACATATCAGCCAGTCATTACGATATTTTGAGACATGCACTATCATTTGCCCATTTTCAGAGGAAGAAGGTGAAAGCACCCAAAAGCACACGGCCCAGAAAAGGCTGAGGAAGCACACACCCCAGACCTAAGTGAAGAAACGCGCAAAAGCTCTCACTCACTGTACCGGGCCCCCGCACTAAGTGAAGGATGGCCGGTTCTAGAGCAAAAGTACAGGAAGTTAATACTATTTTTGTTTGCAAGAATATTGTCTGTGATATTTAAAATAAAACCTATGAGGAAAAAGGAATTGAAGCAGTAGGATCATGGAAAAAAATTCTAAACGGTAGCAAGAGCATAGAAAAATTAGAAACTGAGGAGTAAACTCTGTAGAGCAAAGTATAGGTGACTTCACATGGGGGAAGACAACCTCCACCAAGCAAGCTGGACAACTTTCCAGTGGCCAGCAGGCAGATTTTTAGGAGTTGGCTCTACTCCCTTTCCGGCCACAAGGGAAAAATAAATACAGGTTGCTCCACTGGCTACGGGGCAAATATCTGACAAACCCTAAAATTGTTCTAGCCTGTGTCCATGGATTTTCCAATTCTGAAATTGGCTTCTTTTACTTTATGGCCTCTGCGTCTCTTCAAAGAGGGAAAAGGCTCCTGTTTTATAGGCTGTATTTGTATGGACAAGCATTTGGGCATGGCATCAGAGGACAAAGCAGAAAGGAGTAGCCCAAAGATGATCCTTGGGGAAATAGCTGATTCATTTCCTTTCTGGAGAACTACAGCTTTGAAATCAAAAGAAAAATGTCAACTGAAAGCAAGTAGGGGGGCGGGGCGCCTGGGTGGTTCGGTCAGTTAAGCGTCTGGCTCTTGGTTTCAGCTCAGGTCATGATCTCATGGTTCATGAGATCGAGCCCCTCATCTAACAGGCTCTGTGCTGTTAGCCTGGGATACTCTCTCCCCCTCCTCCCTCTCAAAATAAATAAACTTTAAAACAAAAAAGAAAAGGAAAAACAGTAGAAAAGTTTAGGAGGGAGGTCAGAGGCCACCTTCTACAATCCCTTTTACAGCTCCAGTTTTTAGAAACAGGATTCCAAGTGAAGGGTGCTAATTCCAGAATTTCATTCATTCGACAAGTGTCTGTTTGTTTTAATTTTTAAAACGTTTATTTATTTTTGACATACAGAGAGAGACAGAGCATGAATGGGGGAGGGGCAGAGAGAGAGAGAGAAGGAGACACCGAATCGGAAGCAGCCTCCAGACTCTGAGCCATCAGCACAGACCCTGATGTGGGGCTGGAACCCACAAACCATGAGCTCATGATCTGAGCCGAAGTCGGATGCTCAACCGACTGAGCCACCCAGGCGCCCCTCATTCGACAAATGTTTATCGATGGCTTACTCTGCGCCAGGCAGGGGGTCCCAGGCTGGTCAGAGGACAAAGAATACAGACCCAGGTGAACAGGGAAGACACATCTGGGCAGGCGTGATGGGCATCACCAAAGAGGCGCACACAGCGGGCCAAACCAGCTGGGGGAGGAGAGGAGGTCCAGGTTCTAGCAAGCTTTCCTGAGACCGTAGACTCGTCCCTCAACACTTTGAAAGAATATATCTAATTCTAGGGTTTTCAAGGTTTTTTTTAAGGCAGCAGAATTCTTTCTTCAAACAAAATCTTCTCTGGCAGCCCAATGAATAAAACAGGAGAAAGATAAAGGACTTTGGTTGCAGTTGGAGGCCTGAGGTCCTCTTAGACCGGATCCTCTATTAACCCCTGCCCTGCTCTCACCCTTTGCGCAGCCTACCAGGTTCCTTGGACCTTTAGGGTACTACACAGCACAGTTTGAACACCAGCAGTCTACTGAAGGCACACCCTCCATTTACAAATGGGAAGATGAAATCCAAAGAAGATACCGAGATCCTCTCATTTCTTTTCTGTCCCCTAGAACGCTTACCAGAGGAACCTACTAAATATGGACATGGCGTCACTGAGGATAACGGACGGGAAGTACCACCAGGACAGGGTAAAAGGAATAGGGACTTTGATGTCAGAGGCTCCAGGGCTTAAGTACTAGATGCGTCATTTAATAAACATGCGTCCTTAGACCAGTCACATCTAAGCCTCTCTGAGCCTCAAGTTAATTCATCTGTAAAATGAAAAGACCAATATTTCCTCCACGGCATTTTCATGATGATGGGACACATTTAAGGTAATAATAAAATTACCACTGTCAAGATTTTTCTTTAAAGAACACCAATTGCTGGGGTGCCTGGGTGGCTCAGTCGGTTAAGCGTCCAACTGCGGCTCGGGTCGCGATCTCACCGTTCATGGGTTCGAACCCCCACGTCGGGTTCTGTGCTGACAGCTCAGAGCCTGGAGCCTGCTTCCGATTCCGTCTCTCCCTCTTTCTCTCTGCCCCTCCCCCACTTGCAGTCTGCCTCTCTCTCTCTCTCAAAATTAAATAAACAGAAAAAAATTAAAAAGAAAAAAAAAAAAGAACACCAACTATCGCAGATTCACTCTGTGGTAGGGTCTAGACCAAAGGCTGGCATTTGTTCAACAAAGTCGGTTCCCTTCCCTCTTTGCACATCAGATCTCTTGCCCCTTCACACTTCTCTAGGTAAGCATTCACATACCTTTGGTTTCCTCTGGTAGAACATGCAGCACCACCGCTTTCTTGAACACCAGACTCTCCATTTCAAGCCGGATTTCACAAGTGTAGGTTCCCTGGTCGGCCTCTTCCACATTTTGGAGCAGGAGAGAACCATCGCTGCGTGAGATGTCTCCCACCAAGCGCACACGGTTCTGGAAGCGCCCCACAGGCACGCTGAGGTTGGCGTAATAGTATAGCACATAATCATCCTGGAGGGCAACACAACATTGGGGGGAAAATCTAAAGTCACGGGCACCAGACCTAGGAGTCTGGATGCAAAAGACCCTGTTCTGTGGAGGCAACGGCATCATCACCATCGCCATCGTACTTGTCATCATCCTTGTCCTTATGATTAAAAAGTACTTGGTGCCAGGTAACACTGTAACTCGAACAAGGCCCTGTGCCTTATTTCACACACAAATGGCGGACTATGGTCCACACATATCCATTTCTTACAGTCTGAGGTAAAATGTAACATCCACTCTGAAGGTCACTCTGGGGATTCAAACTCACAACTTTTGAACACCTTCTCTCATCTCCACCCCGTTTTCTGCTATGGCCCCTGGATTCAAGGGCATTCAAAGCCTTGAGGCAATCCCCCACACCGGTAGTCGTGACGGTCCCTGGCAGGTTGGCCATCACTCCCCACCCCCCTTCTGCCCTCTTCCAGGCAGCATATCATACAGCTTGAGAAGGAGTCATCATCACGGACTGGCTTGCAGGCTGGGAAGGGGAGCCCTGGGAAATTCTTATTTCTACGTACACCATGGGCCTATCCCTCTCATAATACAAAATACTAATAAAAATTTGAGTGAGAAAAGTATTAAAGGAATAACATGCTATGAGCTACATAAAGAGTATTTCGTTTGTACACTTCGGGACCTTACCGTTAGTAACACGTTACGTAGGATAGATTCCACAAATGATCCTGAGATACAGGCATCTCTACAGAATCTCTGACGGGGTGTATACACTATTTCCCACTCCAAAGAGCTCCCATGAAAGACCCCCTCTCGGCCATGCTTCATCTTCTAATCCCAACACCTGAAGCGGCCATGAAGGAGAAAGAGACGATTCCCCGGCACATGAATGGGGCACGGAATGCCGAAAGAATCTGGTCCTCTCCCCGCCAAAAAAGATTTTTGTGACATCATTCTTATGCCTCTTCTGTCTAGACCAATTCTCTCCCCTTGTCAGCCCTCCCAACCACCTAAACTACTCTACAAAGGGCAAACATCAAGAAAAGAAACAAAAAGAACTTCATGGGCACGTCTCTCATTGCTTCTCAAGGACCCAAAAGGTAAACATTACCATTATGATAATGACTTTCATCGTCACAGATGAGGAAGCTGAAGGTCAGCCAAGTGGAGTTACTGGCCCAGTGGGTCGCACGGCCAAAGGGCCGAGCAAGGAAGAGGCTCAGTTCCGACAAGCTTCAGAACCCAAACTCTGACAACACCACCTCATGGCACCTGATGACCTGATTCTCCCTCTCCCCATGCTGTCCTCACACCACTGGCCAGGGGTTTCTACCACAGAGTTGTATTTACTCCTTGTTACCTTGGCGTGCTCTCCCGATGAGAACATCCAGTCTACCTTGGTCACATGTTTCTCTTCTGTGCTCTGGAAAACACACCCCATCAGGGCTGAATCACCCACATGGACCGTTAGCTCAAGGGAGGAAACAATCAAGTCATTCAGGCCCAGGGAATAATCTATAGAAGCCAAAGGCAAGAGGAGACATCATTTAGACAAATACCCTCAACCACAAAAATCAGTATTAATCACGAAGTACTATACGTCTTCCCTCCCCAGATGACCCAACACAGACAAAGTACTCAGAGGCCCCTCACTCAAACCAGCAGGGCACTCCCAAGGGTAAGAGAAATACCTTCTAGTTATGCACATGTCTCAAGTTGGAGGGGTTCTGCAATCTTCATATTGCAAAAATGCAAATTGATCCTGTTCTCCTAGCTGGTCCCTTCCCTGTTTCTGGACTTCCTTTCTCCCAGCTCCTTTCTTTCCTTCTAGTTTTTAAGTTTATTTATTTATTTTGAGAGAGAGAAAGAGAGAGAGAGCAGGGAAGGGGCAGAGAGAGAGAGAGAGAGAGAGAATCCCAAGCGGGCTTCACGCCCAGCGCAGAGCCCAACGTGGGGCTCGATCTCCCAAACCATGAGATCATGACCTGAGCAGAAATCAAGAGTCAGATGCTTTAACCGACTGAGCCACCCAGGTGCCCCTCTCTGAGTTCCCTTTCAGGGAAACCCTGATGTTCTCCTTCCGGGTCATGCATTTAGACACCCACAAACAGGAAATGACATGTCTCCTGCTCCTAGTTTCCCATGGGTTCCCTATCTAAAAAGCCAACTCACAAGTATTCTTTGCTTCCCTCCTCTTTTCCTTTTCTTTAGTTCCCTTACAAAAGCTTCTCTCTGACTTTGCTGGCTGATTCTGGCTGTCCGTGCAGGTCCTTGTAATTAGACCAGCACGAGCACGGTTCTCCCCTCCGCTTTTTCTTTGTGTCTGTCTCCACCCCCGCTTCCCACCCCAGCTTTGCCGTCAGCCCCGGCTTTTCAGATCCCAGGTGTTTATGCATAGGCACCACTCCACTATCTATATATCGCTCAAATCACCTCTCTTTTCATTAAAAGAGGAAACCATTACGCGGCTCTTTCCGTTTGCACAAGATGTGCCCTGTGTGGAGAGACAACATTGAGCAAGACCCCTCTAGGTGCTGGCCAGTTTCTATCGAGGAAGAGCCAAGTGAACACGTATGGGAATAAACAGAAAATGTGCCAGTCTTTTCATGCAAGCTGTTGCCCTGAGAGAAGAGGGTTAACTTCCTGCCCAACAGCAGGCGCGCACAGTGGGGAAGATGGAAAAGAAAACATGAACCCTACACCCTCTGGAGGGAAAGTGTTTGGAAAGACATCAAAATCATCTCCAAAGCCGATTTGGAATTTTCCTGTAAGGAAGAACTGAGCAAATTCACACGTGCTTAAAGGTGTTCTTATACCTTTAATTTAATTTAATTAGTTTAATATTAAGCTAGTTTCATTTAATATTAAGAGCGCCCTATGTAGTATTAAGTGAAGGTTAGCTAGAAAGCAGAGGCAGCCACCAAAGCGACGAGAAACTGACACCTGACGGGTAACCTTTGTAGAACAACGGATGGAGAAAATGAGACTTTCTACAGAGGAAAAAGCTCTCTGCAAAGAAATACAAAATGCCCTGATGCCACCGCCTACGGGGCTGAATTGTTAGGTCTCTGGCTGGAAGGGCAGAAATCTGCAGGCTGCCTCCTGTGCCTCTGAGGAAATGTCTAAAGAGCCTCAGAACATGACCAGCCTGCATGGTTCTAAAAGCTTCTCTTAAATACATACCATTTTCGTGTGTGTGTGTGTGTGTGTGTGTGTGTGTGTGTGTGTCTGCATATTGGTGCACATTCTCTGTTTCCTGGAATTAGAGCAAAGGCAGTTCTTATGTGCACGTTGCTGAGTCAGTGTTTAGGTTACCATGCACAGCTAAAAAACTAACAATAAAGAGGAAAAATAAGAGACTATGAGAGCAAAGCACCTTAGTCATTCATTCTTCCTACAGAGCTATCTCCATGGGATAAAGAGAAAAGGCAGGGAGAAGATGCCTGCGTGGCTCAGTCGGTTAAGCATCTGACTCCTGGTTTTGGCTCAAGTCATGATCTCACGGTTTGTGAGTTCGAGTCCTGCAAGGGGCTATGTGCGGTCAGTGCACAGCCTGCTTGGGATTCCGTCTCCCTCTCTCTCTCCACCCCTCCCCCCTCAAAATAAATAAAAATAAGCTTTAAAAAAAAAAAAAGAAAAGGCAGGGAGAAAGGACAGACAACTTAGAAAGAAGACATGAACTATACACAAGAAGCAGCCCAGAGCACAGAAGTTACATGAACAGGAGACTCCAACCCAACCTGAGGGCCAGGGGCCAGGGCCGGGGATGGGGGCTGGGGGGCAGGGGGGGTGTGTGGCATGGTTCAGAGGAGGTTTCCAGAAGGAAGGAAGCTTAAGGAGAAACCTGAAGGCTAAGGAAGCCTTAGGCAGGCTCGCTGGGGTAAGGTGGGGAGAGAAAGTCCTGGCAAAAGAAACCACCCCAAATTGTGAAGAGCTCAGTGCATTTGAGGAACCACAAGAAGGCTGGTGTAGCTACAGCAACAGCAGAGAACAGGGATTCTGGGACTCTCTTCGGTAATTTCATTTCCTGATCTGAGACTAGCTGTGTTCTTAAGGTCACGATTTAAAGCGCAGGAATGCCAGAGAGAAATTTTCTTCGTACCACATAGGAAGGTCCTAGAACACACAATCAAGGACCCGAAGGCCTTCTGTTTCTAATAGAAACAGAGGAAGATTCAGCTTTCCAAGAAAGAGTTTGCTACCTAGCTTCTAAAACAGCTGCCTCAGCAAAACTAGGATGTTCCAGGTTGGGGTTTCCGTTTTCAGCAAACCAAAGGGAAATGAAAATCTATAAAGCCGGCTTTTGAAAACGCACGAGACTTACAAGAAATCAAACACCCTCCTTGGTTCCTTGGTTTCTACTTACCCAGTAACACTGGCATCAGGAGGAGTTTCAGTGGGCAACACATGCCTGCTCTCCAATTTTTCAACCTTCAGATAAAAGAAAAAAAAGATCAGAAAATAGCATCAAGAGAAGTTTGTTAACAAACCACAGTGAGTGCCTCTGTGAGCCAGTCTGTGCCTGAGGCACTGGGCTACAGCCCCGAACAAGGACAAGGACAAGGTGCCACTCACCTGCAGTTTGCGAGTTGGGGGGGGGGGGGGGGAGATGGAGGGGGGAAAAAAAGAAGCAAGTGAATGAACAAGAAAATAGCAGATGCTAGAAAGTGCTGTCATGAAACAAAACAAAGCAGTGTTTGGAGAGTCGCTTGGGGGCCGCTTTAGATTGGCTGTAAGAGAAGATTAGATGAAAATTGCTTTTCAAGAGGAAAAAAGCAAATAATTTCAGGATGTCCTTGAGATGACAACCCTGGCCATTTCTACAACCTAAGGATGTCACATAAACAAAAGATGACAGCTGACTCAGTGTGAGATTTTTGCCTATCTCTCCAAGTAAATTAAAATTATTACTTTTAAGCATATAGAGAATATTCAGGACATGTGGGAAAGGAGCTACACAAATAAGGAGAAAATTTTCAACTCAGTTAAGGCACTCACCGCGTTCTGTGGCGGAAAGGAGCCGCATAAAATATACATGGTGAGCTTCTTTTTTTTTTTTTTTTGCCCTCCCCTCCCCCCCGCCCCCCACCTTTTTAAGCAAGGCAGCAGGGATAGAATGAGACTGGGCCTGCACATGGGCAAAAAAGTACTTTTTAAGTATCTATATTATCTCTGTGGTGTTAATTTCGCTGCGTCTACCAGCTCTGGGAAAGGATTCATTGTTTTTCACCATGCCCCACAATTTTCTTAATGAAACAGAACACCAACTCCAGGGAGTTACAATCCAACCAGTTTAGGGTTCCTACCAACCGCTCTGTCTGGTCTCGGCCATGATCCCTGCCCCCGGAACATCCTGCCGTTAAAAGAACTCTACCTAGAACCTGCTAGGAGGAAAGCCGCCTTTGTGTAATACCATCACAGTACCCCACCCAGCGCTGGTGGGAAGTCCACATGTTGTGGCCATTTTAACTTGTACACAATGATTACCTAAGAGATTCCTTACCTGCGTTCTAAACAACAAAATCCTCCATCTGGAAAAGCAGGGTCAAACTGTTCAAGGAGGTCCTACCCTAGGTCCCACTTATGCAGAGAAGTCAGTTGACCTTGCGGAACCTCAGTTTCCTTGCCTATAACATGAGGACAATAATGCAAGGATCAAACAGGATAATATAGATAACAGTGCTTCAAAAAGTAGAAATCATTACCACATAAGATCCTGTTTCTCATAACCTAAAAATCAGATAGGAAACAGAATTTGTAGCGTCGAGAGAGATTTGGGTTCTGAGCGTCTACGTTTATAGGAATGGCAAATGATGAATCAGAATGAACTGGAAACTCTTTTAAGTTTCAATTTTTGAACCCCATCACAATGTAGATAATAATTACACTGACTCAGATACACCCAAGAGTCATACTAAGTTTCCCCCAAACACCTCTGATAAAAACACAGATCTCTCTCAAGAGAGCAACAGTCGTCTTCTGGCTCCACGACACCCATCCCACCCCACACATCCATGAAAAAGAGCTTCCTTTAGAGCATGCGTCATTGTAATTCATCATATCTGGGATATCTGAGATCCCTGAACGTTCTGGCTGAATGCCTCTTCAGGGAGTTGGTTGTGTTCCCTCCTCTGTCCGGCAAACTATTCTTGTACATTCCCCCAGAGCAGTGCACCCTCTGCTTGGAGGAGGAACAGTTGATTTATAGGTCTAACACCAAACCGCGGTAAGTCTAGATTCTCAAGAAGGGCCATATGTTCCTGTTTACGAGTGTCCCAGGCCTGTGCTGCAGCGCCACTAAAGTGCCTGGACCAAACTCCAGTCACTCAGAGCCACACCCAACCATTTTCAAACAAATCTTAGGAAACGTGCAAATAATCTAATGAATACAAGAGATCAGTATTTTTTCACTCATATGTAGATCTTGAGAAACTTAACAGAGGACCACGGGGGAAGGGAAGGGGAAAAAAAATAGTTACAAACAGAGAGGGAGGGAGGCAAACCATAAGAGACTTTTAAATACAGGGAACAATCTGAGGATTGGGGGGTGGGGGAGAGGGGGAAAATGGGTGATGGGCATCGAGGAGGGCGCTTGTTGGGGTGAGCACTGGGTGTTGTGTGTAAGCGATGAACCACGGAATCTACCCCTGAAACCAAGAGCACATTTTACACACTGTACGTTAGCCAATTTGACAATAAATTATATTTTTTAAAAAAAAGAATACGAGATATCATTTTTGGTTCCAAGTACTCATATGCACCGGTAGAACTCCCTGTGAATGAAGAGAAAAGCAATGAGTTCGTGGAAAAAGCACGGATTTGAATTCCTAAAAAATTCTCTTCCTGGGTCAGACCTTCCATTAACTAATGCTTTGATCTCTGGGAAATCACTCAGTCTCCGGGGCCTCCTCCTTACCATTAAAAGATCGGACCTTTTCTCCCCCCTCGTTAATATAGGACCACGCCAGAAATCAGTAGTTACATATGCGATAATTCCGAGAGGGTTACATGACAGGTACCGCCTGAATGCTCTACACGTTGACCCGTGTAACCTTTGCAACAACCCTATGAGGTCTCCAAGACTGGGACGCTAAGGCACAGATTGGTGAAGTGACTTGCCTGATAACTCATAGCAAGCGGCAGAGCCAGGATTCAAGCCCAGGCATTCTGGATCAGAACCTGTCCCCTCACTGCCCTTGTACTGCCCCTCGTGTTTCTGAAAGTATTCCACGTTTTAGAGCAAAACTTCGCTGAACTTCATGTATCCAAACAAGATGAATCTGCTCCCCCAACTGAATGCTTTTCCCGCCCACTTCACCCAGTGAACTCCTGTTCAGCTTTCAAATGTCAAGTCAGTGTGGCTTCCTCAGGGAAATCTCTCCTGAGCCACACTTACCAGGTCAGATGCCCAGCCACATGTTTTGTTTTGTTGTTATTGTTGTTCTAATATTTATGTATTTGTTTAGTTATTGAGAGAGAGAGAGAGAGAGAGAGAGCGAGCAGGGGAGGGGTAGAGAGAGAGGGAGGCAGAATCCCAAGCAGGCTCCGCCCTGTCAGCTCAGAGCCCACTGTGGGGCTCGAACCCACGAACCATCAGATCTGTGACCTGAGCCGAAACCAAGAATCAGACGCCCTAACCAACTGAGCCGCCAGGTGCCCCCACCTACCCCCTGGCAAGCCACATGTTTTAATAAGACTATTTATCTTTCCTTCGGGGCATTTATCATAATTTCTAATTATCTATTTATTTGTGGGTTTGTTTGATTAAAGTCTTGCTCTCCACGCTCACCTCCCAAACTATAAGCTCTACCTACTATCTGAACAATGAAGATCAGAATCTTATATATACAAATATATAATAGATGCATAAAATGAATCTTGGTCTTCAGAAATCCAACCAAAGCATCAGATGCACCTTAAGCACCTTGAGAATAGGACTCCGCTTAAATTCTCAACTTTTACCTCGCTTCTTCAGATCCTGACATCTCCTCAGCAGATGCTCTTAAGATAATTCTGCATGGTCAGAAGTCTCGTGTGTTGGACAAACATTTTGACCTGAGCTCACGGAGCTTTCACAATATAACTCCTGTCAAATATCTTCTATCGCTCCCGGTGTGGGAGTGGGGGGGCAGGTTGTAACCATCGGGGTCACCTCTCCCATTGTTAACCGTGCAGAGGAAGGGTTACCCTTGGCACGATCGTGATAGAAAAACCTCTTCAGAAAAGGGACTCGTGACAATGAGACAACCACACAGGATGTGAAAATGACCCCCTAATGTTACAATATCACAAAACAAGATAAGGGAGAGGTGCTGCCTCTGAGTGCCAGTGCTTGCCCCCCCGTAAGGACAACCAACCACTGAGCAAATAGACACCTGCACAGGCTTCCCTTACCTACCCCGCTCACCTCGCGAGGCTAAGTCCCCTCGATTCACCCCTGGCTGTGCACCTCTGGGCTCTCATTGTTTTGAGGTATAGTTACCCACGTAACCCCTCTGAGGCATGAAGTTCTTGAAATGCGTCCTCAGTTTTCCTTCCAAGACCGTTTATCCTACATTGGGCTGGGAGGTCACATGGCTCCTTGTAAGACAGTCTTGACATCACTGGTCAACCCTCTACCTGAAGGGGACTTTAGAAGTCATTACTCCCGCTCCCTCCTCAGACCAGGTTACACCTAAAGGACCCTGCATCAGGCCTTCATGAGATCAGAGCTTTGCAAAGGACGTGATTGGTAAGGACAGTATAGCCTAGCCCTCTTGAGAGGTTTAAGTTTCTGACTTCTTAAGGTTAAATATTGGTCTGTCTAGGATTGGGGGAAGAGAAACAGTGAGGGACAAGTCCCGCCATGAGTTCAAGGGCAGCTAGTCACTGCTCTACCTAAAACCACAGGCAAATTATAAATGAAAGTCTTGTTCTTCATCATCATCATCATCATCATCACCTACTCTTTCATTAAGGGCAAACCTTACCCCTCTTCTCTCTGAGGATCTTAACAGAAGCAACTCTACCCCACAGAAAGGGAAAGTGCACCCACCAGGCTACCTTATACCCATCTCTTCCTACAGAGGTGGAGAGCCCTGCAAACGTGGCCATCAAATTAAAGCCTTCTCCTGAGAGAGCAAAGCGTGAATCCCTGCTTAAGAAATACGAAGCAATTGCTTACCCAAGATGAGGCGCACCGAGGGGAAGCCAAGCACTGAACTGCGCTACATCTGCAGTACCCAAGTCCGACTGAAGAGACTTCTGCCGGCACAGAAGGTCAGGCTCAGAGCAAACCAAATGCGTGCGTTCTGAAGTGGCTGCAGAGATGCAAACAGGAACCTCTAAATCAAGGTTCTCATTTCAGTTATCTGGCCCATGACCCAATTTTTATTTATATTTTCATTCTAAAAAGAAGATATATATTCAACTTACCGAGGAGAGCCTCATATTCCAGACCTGAGCAGGGGCTGTCTCCCCTTCTAGAGAGCTCTCTGAGGGTGGGGTCTTGAAAGGCATCAGGCACACATTCCCCAAGAGAGAAATCAGCTACATGCAAACAACAATAGATTTAAGATGAACACAGAACATTTTGCCCTGTTTAAAATACAGCAACCTCAAAAATAAAATAAAATAAGACAAAATAAAATAAAATAAAATAAAATAAGACAAAATAAAATAAAATAAAATAAGACAAAATAAAATAAAATAAAATAAAATAAAATAAAATAAAATAAAATAAAATAAAATAAGGGGCACCTGGGTGGCTCAGTTGGTTAAGTGTCTGACTCTTGATTCTAGCTAGGTCATGATCCCAAGGTCACGGGATCAAGCCCACGATGGGCTCTGAGCTGAGTGTGGAACCTGCTTGAGATTCTCTCTTTCTCTCTCTCTGTCTCAATCTCTCTCTCTCTCTCTCCCTCTGCCCCTCTCCTATGCTTGCTTTATCTACAATTTAAAAATAAAATAAGATAATAAAAGGAAAATTACAGCAACCTCTTTTATTTTCTTCTCTCAACACACAGGTGCAATGTAGCCAGGCAATCACCCAATCCCTGCTTCCAAAGAGAAGCCTGCTCAGTCCTCCAGCTTTCCATGTTGGTGTCCTCTGACCATGTGATATCAGCATTTCCAGAATGCAAGTAGCATTTTATTCCCCCAGAGAACCCCTTGAGTGATTTGGACATCGTAGATAAGAACTCAAAGCTTCTTCGCTTCAAACTATCTTTTGCTTTTAAGTCACCACTCCAGCGGTGCCTGGGTGACTCAGTCGGTTAAGCGTTCGACTTCGGCTCAGGTCATGATATGATTCGTGGGTTCAAGCCCTGCATCAGACACTGTGCTGACAGCTCAGAGCCTGGAGCCTGCTTGGGATTCTGTGTCTCCCTCTCTCTCTGCCCTTCCCCCGTTCATGCTCTGTCTCTCTCAAAAATAAATAAATGTTTAAAATGTTTTTAAAAAAATAAGTTGCCACTTCAAAATAAGTGTTCTCAGTTGTACACACCTTCAACCTTGCTTGGGTTGGCTTGACCTACCTACACACAGCCATCATGGTTTTTTGGAACTTGTCCTGTATCATTTGAAAAGTTGTTGAATACTTGCTCCTCTCAAGGACTATGCTACACTGTTCTTTTTTTTTTTTTTTAATGTTTACTTATTTTTGAGAGAGAGAGAGAGAGAGAGAGACAGAGTGTGAGCAGGGAAGGGGCAGAGAGAGAGGGAGACACAGAATCCAAAGCAGGCTCCGGGCTCCATGCTGTCAGCACAGAGCCCGATGAGGGGCTCAAACTCATGAACCAAGAGATCATGACCTGAGCCGAAGTCAGATGCTTAACTGACTGAGCCACCCAGGCGCCCCTATGCTACATGGTTCTTGAGCAATAGTGTACTGGTAAGCCAGCAACTTACATAAACACCCACCACAGCCTATTTCAAGCCACCAATGGTTTAACAATCAGTTTGCAAAATTCCTAAAAATTTAACGATCAGCTCTTGCTGGGTGAACTGGCTCCAGCACCCCACTGAATCCGTGCAGGGTCTTGCAGGGGTAAAGCTTAGACGCGAATGGCTGCTTGATGCTGAAAACCACAACCTCCTCCCCTTTCACATGACAGCTCTCATTTTACAGGTAGATACACACCAGAAAGTGCAAAGCAGTTTATTAACTGTGATGTGGTAAAGATATCAAGAGTTACAACGTCTGTGCACATGGCCCAACGGTGCACACTCTCCCGCAAAACAAAACAAAACAAAACAAAACAAAACAAAAACGCTGTGAAATGCAGCAGTTAACAACAGTCCAACGCAGGAATCGAACGAATGGAGCTGCCTCTTCTGGCAGCGAAGTTTCCAGTTGTGCAATTAAATGACAGTCTTGGTCCGCTCTCCGGGGGTCTTCCCGGCTCCCTTTTAGAACCGTAACTGAGTGACACAACAGAACGTTCAGATCGAGGAGTTGGCCTCCAAACATTCTCCTTAAAGAGGAACATTCAACATTCCCTCTAGAAACACCAGCGCACGATTTGGGAGTTGCGGAGACCTAGTACCTTCTCCACGAAGCCTGAGGCAAGGGGACCCGTGGGAAACACAAAGCATTTCATAAATTCACATTAGATAACGGAATTGAGAGCTCAATGCACGAAACTTGTAAGATAGTGTAGCCACGAGGAAAGCCTCCGGCAGCCAAAGAAAAATTCTGAAAGGCTTTTAACCCCCTCTGAAGCTCTCAGAATTCAATTCCCTTTCTAGACAAGGCTGGTCTTCATTCGATGTGTTCTGCATACAGAGCAGCGAAGAGAAAACGAGAGAGAGGGAGAATAGCACCTTAGAAGGTATTAAAAAGAGTACGTTTAAAAAAAAAGTTATCTTTGGGGTGCCTGGGTGGCGCAGTCGGTTAAGCGTCCGACTTCAGCCAGGTCACGATCTCGCGGTCCGGGAGTTCGAGCCCCGCGTCAGGCTCTGGGCTGATGGCTCGGAGCCTGGAGCCTGTTTCCGATTCTGTGTCTCCCTCTCTCTCTGCCCCTCCCCCGTTCATGCTCTGTCTCTCTCTGTCCCAAAAATAAATAAAAAACGTTGAAAAAAAAAATTTAAAAAAAAAGTTATCTTTCTTCCATCTTTAAAAAAAAGGAACTGCTTTTTGCTCCTTTTGGGGGTGGGGGGAAGGCTGTAACCCAGACCTCAACGTAAGAGATAAAGAAGGACGCTGACAGAAGCCTTATGACTGGTGCGACCGTAAACCCACGGAGACGACTAAATCCCCAGTCTACTCTCTTACCACGAAGGATGCTGTTGTTCGGTCACTTAAAAAGAAAGGGCCTTGTTCAAATCACGATCGAGGCTACAAAATAACATGACCAAGTGGTCACGCAGCACCCTTTACCTACAGTGACAAGCTTACTACAACTGGATTAATCCTCATAACACACCTGAAAGGAAATTACAAGAAACCCCAGACAAACCCGGTTCCTCAATTCATGAAATGCGGTTTTAACTGGGTTCCTGTCACATCATCTCTTTCTCAGACCCACAAAAAGTCTACCCCACAATTGGGTCTCTATCTTCAAATCTCCCAGAACCCAAATTATTTACTCTTGTTGCTCAAATATGTTTTCCCGTCTCTGCTGTGGTGTCAGAGTGTCTGTCACCAGGCTGGCCCCAGACAACCATATACTTGACAAACAGCCCAAGACTCTGAGGCTCAACCACTGGAAATAAACAGTCAACGTGTCTTTGCCTCTTTCACTTCCTTACGTGACCAGAGGTAAATCGTAATATCTATTAATGAACCAGACTCTCTTATGTATGGACTAGATTAACAAAAGAGGCCAGGCCAAACCCATATCATAATTCTTAAAGTCTTTACTGATGACTTCCAGAACTAATGACCCAAAATTTTAAACATAAATCTGGGCAAAGTGATTTTTTGTGTAACATATGGGGCGTATTAGGCTATAATACGGAAACCTCCCTAGCCACCTAGTGAAGAACCATGGGAAAACAAAACAAAACAAAACAAAAAACAAAGATGGGAGGAGGGAGGATAATTTTTGTCTCTCATAATCCAGAAGTGAACTCTATCGCTCTTTTACAGAGGACTATACTATCAGCCCTTCTGGACATGTCACACGTATTACTTAATGGCTTGTAGAAAATCCCATGTAAATTAAAATTTGAAATCAGTTGCTGCAGGAAAATGGAGGAAGCTGATATAAGGTACTGAGAGAATAGAAATGAGAAGTATAGACTATAGAGAAGTATAGACCTCACTTCCTTATGTCAAATACGACATAAACAAAAACAGTTTGCAAATACCTTGGTTCACTCATATTTGGCGCATTTTAGAACTCAAAAAAGTTCTGAAGAATAACAAAGGTCAAAAGATGATTTCCGATAAACATAAGCCTCATTAAAGTAAATCCAACATTTGAACTCTGGAGTGGCATTTGTTAAAAAAAAAAAAAAAAAAAAAAAAGATGATTTCCTTGCAAATAACTGATAAAATATTCTATACATTTCCCCACAAAAAAAAAACCTTTCGAAGCTGCACCTAGCAACACAAAAGAAAGGGATCCCTCTACGTCACTGTTCCTTTCCTTAATTGGACACTGACGACACTTTAATACTTTAAAAGCCCAGTCAGGGGCGCCTGGGTGGCGCAGTCGGTTAAGCGTCCGACTTCAGCCAGGTCACGATCTCGCGGTCCGTGAGTTCGAGCCCCGCGTTGGGCTCTGGGCTGATGGCTCAGAGCCTGGAGCCTGGAGCCTGTTTCTGATTCTGTGTCTCCCTCTCTCTCTGCCCCTCCCCCCTTCATGCTCTGTCTCTCTCTGTCCCAAAAATAAATAAAAAACGTTGGAAAAAATTTAAAAAAAAAAATAAAAGCCCAGTCAAAGCAAACCATGGGCTCCAGGCCCTACCGACTCTATGGAAATTAGAGTTCTGAGTCACCCAAACACAACGGATGATGTCATCAAACCAATGAGTACATGCTGTGCGCTGATCCGCAGCTGAAAACATTCACGGAGCAAATGCCAAAGAATACTTATCCCAAACATCTCGTCTCGTCGCACATCTGGACACTACAAGCTCCATTTCATTTTTTAAAAATATTTTGGCCTCAGCGGTGTGGCCAACATTTAGGATTTTCCCTCAAGTAACCAGAAGAAAGCACGTAACACGTTCAAGGGCAAAGGCAAAAACAAAGAGTTTCTTTCTATTCAGGAAGAGAATTCCTTCATTCAATTAGAGCATAAGTTATTAGAAGGGGTAGGTAGGAGTTTCTTCTGGGAGTTCTTGAACAGTTCATAAATATAAAAAGAACAGTTGTTCAATAAATAAATGGTTCCTAACGTCTCTACGGATGGCTTCCAGAATCCTCCGGCACAGCGATCCAAGCAGCTTCGATTCTCTGAGAGGCTTCAGCTGCCAGTGGGACAGGATATTTTCTATCAGGTGACTCTTCTTACATCATGAAGCCTTTCATCAATATGTCTCTTCATAGTCTGAATCCTGGAGGGAAAGAAAAGCAGCTGTGGTGTTTATATGAAGTATAATGCCACTGACACCATACTAGGTGTCGTTCAGAGCTTAGACGAAGACCACATTCTAGGATCCCCTCGGATGGAGCTCGGCGTGGGACGACATTAACGGTGAAATTAACGTCATCGACACACCTACATCCCCATGAAATGTCACAGGACTTCAACATATTTCGTGTCTTTGGGGCTAATTTCTGTCTTGAGACCCTAGTGGTTCCCTTTTCCGTGGCGGATATTCTTTAAAACCTCAACACGCAGGAAAAGGCGCCTGTCCGCAGAACACGCGGGACTCTAGTGAGGAGTTGCGGCTTCTGGGTTTCTCTGAGCGCAACCCCAGCTCCGCCCCTTGCTGGCTGTGTGAACTTTAAAGTTATTTAACGGTCTCTAAGCCTCAGTTTCCTTATTTGTAAAATGGGGGTAATAAAAATACTCATAGACACCTCATAGAAAGGCTATGAGAATTGAATGAGACAATGTATGGAAATCACTTAGCCCTGTGCCTAACACTGTCAGTGCTATTAAAGATTGGCTACTGGTACCATTATTTTCATTCTTACTCTTATTATTTTTAAACATATATATATATATATTTTTTTTAATGCTTATTTTTCAGAGAGAGAGACAGAATGTGGGCGGGGGAGGGACAGAGAGAGAGGGAGACACAGAATCCGAAGCAGGCTCCAGGCTCTGAGCTGTCAGCATAGAGCCCCAGGCAGGGCTCGAACTCATGAACAGCAAGATCATGATCTGAGCTGAAGTCGGACCCTTAGCCCCTGAGCCACCCAGGCGCCCCTCACTCTTATTATTTACATTTGTATTCATTACCTCTAACCTCAAGTGGCCCATTAGAACTACCTGGCAGACCACATTTCTCTAGGCCATTCATTTTCCTGGATTACTGTTCCATAGCCTTCCCTCCTTCCCCAAACCTCCCTCCAGCACCTCCAGCACCTACTCCTCACTTTGTTGTCAGCTGACGACCTTGCTTTCTCCCCACAATGGGAATAGAGTAGTCGGCAGGGAAGCTTCGCAAGCTCCCATCACCGTATGTGCCCACTCACCTGCATCGGGGCCCAACTGTGTGGTCTTCCTTACTATTCTTATGGGTCTGCTCTCCCCGCCTTTATTTAAGGCCAGCATCCCCGCTTGTCCACTGCATCCTGGAGTTACTCCAGCAACCTCCTCTCTCCCTCCTGCAGCATCATTTTTCCCTTTTCTACTGAATCGTGCCCATCACACACACACGTGCCGTAATTTCTCTCATCTTCAACAGAAAGGTAACCCTTGAAACACATCTCCCTGCTACCTATTGCCCTCTTTCTCTGCACCTCTTCACAGCAAAACTCCTTGCAAGAGCTGTTTACACCCACTGTCGCCAATGTCTCTCGTGTTCTTTCTTGACCTTGCCCTGGTCGGGATTTCTTCCCCGCCAACCCCGCGGAAGCTGCTTCTGCCGAGGTCACCAACGGCCCCCACACCACCAGACCGGCCAGTAATCAACCCTCAGCTCTAATTTTACTTGACCTGACTCAGCAGCAACTGACACAGCTGATCACTTTCTTTTCCCTGAAACTCAAGCTTCACTGGGCTCCCAGGATAGCAAACCCTCCTGGTTTTCTCCTAGCTCGCTGGACATTCCTTCTCAGACTCCTCTACCAATTCTTCTTCCTTTGCCAAGTCTATCCATCTTGGAGAGCTCCAGGGCTCTGGTCTACATCTAATCTACCTTTTCTATCTATTCCACCAGTTGCTAAAGTCAAGAACCAGGGAATTAAGTATCCCTGACTCCTCATTCTTTCCCATATACATGAAACCCACCCATAAATCCTTCTGGCTTCACCTTCAAACTATAATCAGAACACAACCACTTCTTACCACCCTGGTTCAAACCAGTACCATCTTCTCTCACCTGCGTCATTGCTAAGGTCTCTTAGCTGGGCTTTCTGACTGTCCGGGTCCCCTGACCATGGTCCTGCCTCTTGTCGATACAGAAGCCAGGATGACCCTTTGCGAACAGACATCAGTTCACGGTTCTGCTCTTCTCAAAAACCTCTAGCGCATCCCATTTCATTAAGAATAAACACCCAGATCATTCCCATCACCTGCAATGTTCTATAAGATTGAGCATTCTCTCTCTGATACCAATGAATACAATTCTTCACCTTGCTTGCTTCGTTCCTGCCACGCTGGCTTCCTGGCTATTCCTAGAACATGCCAATCATGCCCCCCCCCCCCCGAGCCTTTGCACCTACCATTTCTTCTGCCCGAAATGCTCCTCCAGAACAGCTATATGGCTTCCTATCTGCTTCTTTTAGGTGTCTGCTCAAATATCATTTCAGTGATGATGATATCCCCTGCCACCCTATGTAATATCATACCGCCTTCCAGCCATCCCGTCTCCCTTCCCTATTTTATTTTTCTCTATAGCATTGAGGACCATCTGATATACCATATGTTCACTTATTTTTAAAAGATTTCATTAGTTACTGTTTGTACCCCAATTTATGAGAAAGTGACATTTCAGTTGTGTCTTGGAGTTTTCTTTCTTTCTTTCTTTCTTTCTTTCTTTCTTTCTTTCTTTCTTTCTTTCTTTCTTTCTTGTTTTTTAAGTAATCTCTACACCAATGTGGGGCTTGAAACCACAACCCCGTGATTAAGAGTCCCATGCTCTACGGACTGAGCCAGCCAGGCTCCCCGAGAATGAGCGTTTTCTAGGCATGGAAAAGAATGTAAGTTACTTGAGGGCAGAGATTTTTGTCAGTATTGTTCACTCGTGCTTCCTAAGTACCCAGAATCCTATCTGGCACATGTCAGATGCTCACTAAATAACTGCTGAATGAATTAATATCTGAAAGCTGGATGAAAACCCTCTTACTTTGTGTCATCAAAGTACTCAAACCCCGAAGGGTTATAACTAGGTCCTCCTCACTGGCACTGTCCCTCGCCTTACCCATCACACTCAAGTCTGAAAACGAGAGGAACAAAAGAACGCTGAGGTCATCTGGCCAAGGGCTGAGCTTGGCGATAAGTACAAAGAGAACTCCAGCTTAAACCCGGCAATGACAGGTATGTTTCATATTAGATCGTAAGTTGCTTTTGACCTGTTTCCAATTGCACCACATCAGAGAGTCTTTCCTCCTAGGACCCTGGGACAGCCGCACAAGCCAACCAATCACGGCAAGAGCTTAAAAGGCGAGGGGTACCAGCCTTTTGAAATTTAAATCAAAACTCTGGCCTTTGACAGGGGTACTTCCTATTGATGAAGCCACAAGTCACCCAAAAGGTTGTATCGCGCTGATTCCCCGGGGGAAAAACTGACACACAGCAGGAAAGTTCAATTCAGGACTCTGAGTCCGACCAGACAAAATCTGCTAGTGTGACCCAGTGGCTTAAGGCACCCATCTTTCAGGGTGTTCGCTGTCAGTTGGCACAGTTCTACACGGTCCCTTCCCTAACCTAAGGACATCGCTCTATGCCCATGAGATAGAAAACAAAATAATGGTTAGAATCGGCAGGGGTCGGGGCGCCTGAGTGGCTCCGTCGGTTAAGCATCCAACTCTTGATCTCAGTTCAGGTATTGATCTCAGGGCTGTGAGGTCAAACCCTGTGTTAGGCCCTGCACTGAGCATGGAGCCTACTTAAAAAAAAAAAAAAAAAAGAATCAGTAGGGGTCCCCTGAGACCAAAACGCTTTAAAGGAAGACCTTGCCTTGGATCTATCCAAGCATCCTCTGCTGCCTCTGGGAGCAAGGGTCCCCGTAAGTCAGTAGGAAGAAGGAGTGTGAAGAGCAAACCAAGAAATGGCACGGGCTTACCAGGCACTCGGCGCAACGAACACAAAGCCTGGCCATGCAGTCGTCCGCCTCCTCCTGGTCAGTGCTGGAGAAAAAGGACAAACCAGATCTGAACAATGACTGTCCTCGGCACAGTAGAGCAGTTAAGCACGCCGCTGTTGAAGTCAGACAGGTGGCGTTTTAAATTCCAGTTCTGCCACTTACTAGCAGGGTGACTAGGCAGGTGACTTAAGCTCTGGGATAAAAAATAACCACATGTAAAACACGTCCCACAGTGCCTGACACATAGGAAGTGCCCAATAAATAGGGGTTGTTCCCAATCGTTCATTTAGAAACGAATGTATGAGCCACCACGGATCAGCCATTGTGCTGAGCTGGGGGTACAGACATAAATAAAACACTGCCCCTTAAAGAGCTCACAATCTCATGGGTGTGAGAAACCTGTTGAAACTTAATGAGTACTTTATGACACGATGTAATAAAATGTTTCAGTCCTTAAGGTCAAACTGCTATGGCAGCAAAGAGGAGGGAGTGGCCTACTCTCCGGGGTGGGGGGGGGGGGGGCACGACTCAGGGACACTCACAAGAAGGAGACACTTCATCTGGGTCTTCTTGTAGGACAAGGAAGAGTTTTCCAGGCAAACAAGAGAGGGAAGGGGAGGATTCCAAGTGAGAGAAAAGCATGTGGGGGAAAAAAAAAAAAAGACTTGAGGGTATACAGTGTGTTCAGAGAAGCAAATAAGCTCAATGCAGCTGGTAGGTGGAGTGAAAGAGAAGAAATGTCAGGAAACAATGTGACCTAAGGAGGAGGCTTGTTACATTGTGCTTAGAAATAGACATTTTAGTATTTCTACCAAGAGCTCATTACTTTTTTAGCGGGCCCACAGATTCCTTGGAAAGGGCCCTCTCCCGTGAAATAATGCACACGCATGAACGTGCCCGCACACATACACACACACAGAGAACATTTTAGACCCTCCCCAGGTAAGCGTTCCCTCCCAACGTTAGGAACCCCTGGTATAGACAATGGAGAATGAAAAGGGTTTTCATGCAGACTCTGTCACCTTTTTTTTTAGCAGATTTATTCTTAGAGAAACTACTGGATCATGCCTGCTCACTGGCAACATGACGTTTCATAAATGTGATTGGATAATCACAATCCCATTAGCCCCTCAGAGCATCTGCTGACCAAGAACAGATCTTGCTGCTTTAAATCGGTTTTTGCCGTCTAAGGCTGTTATTCTTAAGGCCTTCCTCACTGCTTAGGCATTTTCTGTCGGGAGACATCAGCTTGGTGTCGAAACAAGAAGGGAAAAATAACCGACTTGTTGGAATTTCCTGGTAAGTTGGAAGGAATGTGATCTCCTTGGGGATGTGTATGCAGAACCATAGCAGAGTCTAATCTGATTTCCGAAGGAGAGAGTAGGACCATACTGTTCACCCCTCCACCTCTCTCTCTGAATTAATATCCACCAGTTTCACCTCCAACCTTCCCTCTGGTACTCCTCGGCAGAACTAAACTTGGCCTGGGAAGAAGGAAAGGCGTGGATTCAGATCTCTGGGTACTGTCCACAAAGCACAGCTCCGAAGAAGAAAGGGACAGGCTGCTCAGGGCTCCAGCCGGACTTACTCATCTGACACCTCAATAGACGACTTCTTGTAGCCAGACTTGTTCCTCTTCTTCAGCCTAGCTGATTTCCTCCCCATCCTCACCAGCAGCAGGACAACCACCACGGCTGAGGGGACGAAGACAAGGACGGAGAGGAGGGCCACAGAGGAGAGCATGATGCCAAACCCTAGACGGGGGGAAAGGAAAGGTGAGAGGGCGGGACGCGCAAAAGGGCCTCCTTTGACCTGAGAAAGCTTTTACTTTTGCTCGTGTATTTCTTTTTTTTTTTTTTTTAATGTTTATTTATTTTTGAGACACAGGCAGAGAGAGAGAGGGAGACGCAGAATCTGAAGCGGGCTCTGGGCTCGGAGCTGTCAGCACAGGACCCCACGCGGGGCCCGAACCCACGAACCGCGAGATCGTGACCTGAGCCGAAGTCGGGCGCTCAACCAACTGAGCCACCCAGGTGCTCCTGCTCTTGTATTTCTTCTGATCACAACAGGAATAAATTCATGGTAGAAGGGGTAGAAAGTACACAAAGGGACAAAAAGAATAAAAACGTAGCCACGGTCCCACTCCCTAGGATTAACGCATTGGTATCTACCCGTCCGGTGCTTTCTTGGAGTACGTGGGTGTGGGTCTGCAGGTAGGGAGGAGAGTGCACATTTTTAGAAGTATGGATCATATTTTACAGACTGTTTCCAGACCCCTCTTTTAGGTACCATATAATAAATGTTTCTCGGGTCATTAAAAATTCCTTCTGGGTGTTATTTTTTAACGGCAGCATAGTATTCTAGCACACTGTGATAGAACCAGGATTGAACCAGGATTGCATTTGTTGAACCAGGATTGCAATGCTAGACGTTCAAATTGTTTCCAATTCCTTGAATCTACAAGTTACTTTATGATGATCATCTTTGTACATAAATCTTCATATTTACCTCTATTTCTTTAAGATAAAATTTTACATGGTATTACTGGATCAAGGGGCACACAGACTCATACTACCAAACTGTCTTCCAAAAACACTATACTACTTTCTACTGCAGCCAGCAGCATGAGCGTGACTGGATCTTTGAAACCTTGAGTTACCATCTTTTTTTTTTTTTTTTTTAATTTTTTGTTTTTAAAGTTTATTTATTTTTGAGACAGAGACAGAGGATGAACGGGGGAGGGGTAGAGAGAGAGGGAGACACAGAATCGGAAGCAGGCTCCAGGCTCTGAGCCATGAGCCCCCGAGCCCGACGCGGGGCTTGACCTCACGGACCGCGAGATCGTGACCTGAGCTGAAGTCGGACGCTTAACCGACTGAGCCACCCAGGCGCCCCTAAACCTTGAGTTACCATCTTAACAAAAGAAAGAAGAGGGGCGCCTGGGTGGCTCAGTCCCTTAAGCATCCGACTTGGACTCAGGCCACAATCCTACAGTTTGTGGGTTCGAGTCCTGCGTTGGGCTCTGTGCTGACAGCTCAGAGCCTGGAACCTGCTTCAGATTCTGTGTCTCTCTCTCTCTCTGCCCCTCCCCAGCTCATGCTCTGTCTCTCAAAAATGAATAAATGTTAAAAAAAAAAAAAAACTTTTTTTTAAAGAAAGAGAGGGAGAAGGGAAAGGAAGGGAGACAGACAGACAGACTTGAGAAAGACCTGTGAAATGATAGGCCATCTATAACGAACCACAATGCCGTTCTGTATCTCTAGGTCTTTGGCTCCAATCCAACTGAGGATTAGAATGGCCACTCAGGAGTCACCAGGGAATAATGTCGGAAAAAAAAAAGGTCAGTCCTTAACCTACTTTCCTTGGGTTTCACACCAAAAGGAAACTGCTGCCCTTTCCAACATAAAAGAAGTATGCTGCCCCCCTCGTTAGAGGGGGCACCCTTTCAAGACACGGGCAAGAACACGGCCTCACAACTGAGGGCACAAACGGACTAGGGAAATCAAATGACCTATCTTTCACACAGGTAACAAGCCCCCCTTTACGGAGGGCTTTGCCATGCATCCCACAAGACCTCTGGTCACCTGAAGTTAAAATAAAAGAGATTCACGGGGAAACTAGAACAACAATTGAATGACAGCTGCAGGTTGCAAAGTAAAGATTAAGAAATTCATCCTAAGAGACAATTAGCATGGCAGAAGTCCCCACTGACTGACTGGCTCACAAAGACAGGTAGTTTAGCTTGTCCCTGACCACCCGGGCAAGCGCCACAGGAGGCACAAAGCCCCGCAGCAGGTTGGCGGCAGTTAGCTTACCCCTCTCTGTGACTGTTAGCTCTGTCACGGGAATGTTATGGTGCACGTCCGGGGGATTCTTCACGGCACAGCTGAATGTCCCATTGTCCTTGAGGGTAGGGTTGCTGATGCTGATAGACGCATCCCCTCTGTACACATCTCCAGCCCAGGAAATTCGATCCCGAAACGTGCCTGCTGTGGTTGGATACTGGAAAGACTGATAATGAAAAATCTAAGAAAAGCAAACACCAGAAGGAAAGAAAGTTCATTTCCAAACTGCAGTGACAATGTAAAGCTCAGTAGGTCCAAAACAAAATGCAAATGCATGATGGGTTTTCTAGGTTGGACTTTTTTTTTTTTTATGTTTTGTTCACCTCCATCCTATTTTTTTATTTTTATTTTTTTATTTTCATGTTTTGTTCACCTCCCTCCTATAGGCTAAAAGACAAGTTAATACAACTTATCAGGAAAAGGCCTGACAAAAGAGTCCCAGAATCCTAACTCTCAAAGCTCTTCCAAATTCTCCCTGAAGTCCTAAGGCAGTAGTTCTCAACTGGGTGGTGGCAATTGGGGCCTCCAGGAGACATCTGGCAATATCTGGAGACATTTTTGGTTGTCACAGGTGGGGAGACTGCCACTGGCATCTAGTGGGTGGAGGTCAAGGAATACTGATAAAAATCCTACAGTGTGCCAGGTAGGCCCCCACAACAAAGAATTAACCAGCGCAAAATGTCAGTAGTACCAAAGCTGAGAAACCCTTCTTTTTTTTTTTATAACTTTTTTTTTTTTTTTTGAGACAGAGAGAGACAGAGCATGAGCAGGAGAGGAGCAGAGAGAGAGGGAGACACAGAATCCAAGGCAGGCTCCAGGCTCTGAGCTGTCGGCACAGAGCCCGACGCAGGGCTCGAACTCACCAACCGTGAGATCATGACCTGAGCCAAAGTCGGACGCTTAACTGACTGAAGCACCCAGGCACCCCAGGGAAACCCTACTCTAAAGTCACAGCTAATTATTTGTATACTACCTTATGGTTTGCAAATGATTCCCATAGATTTACTCACTTGAGTGTCATAACAACGGTGAACTATCCATGGGGCTGGTACAACTATTCCAAATTTATAGAAAGGGAAACAAGTCCAAAAACTAAGCGAGCTACTCAAAGGCACACAGCTAGTAAGTGGGCAAGGGAAGGTACTTGTTCATTCTCAAATATTCTCTTATGATATAGTCAAGCGTCTCTCAAGTTATCTTGGCAATTATTACAAACCCACCGCAAGTCAATGAGTACCCATCAGTACTCAATGAATGTCTGTTGAATCAAAATGACGTGGCTTCAGATCAATTATCAGACACTTTGTCGCCAAAAGCACCTCAGTATGTGTCTGGTGGTGGGCCAGGCAAGTACTACAATACAATATGATCTTTCTCTCTTATGCAACGTTTCAAGGCCTTCCTCTTTATCTGTTTACTTGGTACCTTCCCATTTGCAAGCACTCAGTTGCCCAATTTTGAAGAGCAACTTCCCGGAGAAGATGCTGAATCACTTCTCAGTTCCGTTATCCATGTATCCATTCGACAAATATTTACGGCACCCCTACTATGCGCTAGGCACTGGGTTAAGCAAAAGGATATAGTGAGAGCCAAACAGGCATAGTCAGTCCCTGCTGTCATGAATCTTCTGGTCTAAGGGGGAAATTCAGATAGGAAGAAATAATAACGTGTGTAACGAGCGCCATGAGACGGGAGGGAGGGAGCACCCAGCTGGCTTGGTCGGTGGATCAGCGACTCGATCTCGAGCCCCACTTTGGGTGTAGAGATTACTTAAAAATCAAATCTTGAAAACAAACAAAGAGGGAGGTGAAGAATGCCGACCACTGATCATCAGCATCTCTGTAAAAGGGCTTGAAGCTCCTCACTGACAAAACAAATCCTGCTGTGTATCTCTAAGATTAATCCAACCTGTAAGTTCCACGTTAAACTGGTGACTCTCTAATACTCGCTAACCGATTACTCAGACAGAATCCTGACTGACTTGGCCTGGACTGCGACATCATGTAACGGGGCTTTAAAAGTCCACTGATTCCAGGGGGCGCCTGGTGGCTCAGTCGTTTGAGCGGCTGACTTCGACTCAGGTCAGGATCTCACGGTTCGTGAGTTCAAGCCCCGCGTCGGGCTCTGTGCTGACGGCTCGGAGCCTGGAGCCTGCTTCGGATTTGGTGTCTCCCTCCTTCTCTGCCCCTCCCCCACTAGCACTTTGTCTCTCTCAAATAAATAAAAAAGCGTTTTTAATAAATAAATAAAGGTCCACTGATTCCAATGCAGGTGAGCTTGCTGGCTTTCTAATCAGTCTCACAGAAAAAACAGCACCATATGAGAACTGCTATTTGCATTTAAGGTTTCCGACCCAAGAAGATTACCACTGCTTGCTCTGTCCTGCTTTTGGCCAAGGAGGCAGAGCCAAATAAGGCCAGCTATAGTTTTCCGATAACTCAAAACCAAATGAACTGTTTTAAGGAAGAGGAACCAGGAATACAGCCTAGCTTCCTTCACTGCAGCCCCCTACCTGGTTCCAAGCTCTGTGGCTCTCAATAATGGGTCCTAAAACAAAACCCAAACCTTATATATTAAGATCAAAGAGAAAGTTTCCCAGGGAAGAACACAGTATAAACAAACTAGGGATACTTTCGAAAATACAGCTATGACATTTGCATCCTCGATAGCATCTATCCTGAACAAAGGATGCTGCTGGAAGCATAAAGAGAAAGGGTTTTTTAATAGCATTGCAATCTCCAATTAGACATCAACAATGGGATCTGGGCCATAAATGTGTGTTATATGTGTGTATAAAGTATATTGCTTCTAACGTTGCAAGGCCATCTGTCACCAACAGCATCTGTCATCAACACGAGGTGCCACCATCCCCTTTGAAGGGAACTATATAAATCAGTGCAGATGTTTACATGCTAGGACACGGTGCCAAGATAAATCTACTGAGTACAGATACACAAACAGATACACCCATTGAGACAACCTCATGCCACAGGAAATGAGCAGCTTTATGAGACAGGATATCTATGACTGGGACCGATAGAATTTTTTCTAGCCAGCAGTCCTGGAGATACTCGTGGTAGTACTTGGAATCTGAAAATAAGCTAGGAAAACATGCAAAAAGAAACAACAAACGGGAAACAAAAGTGAACCACATTTCCTCTGAGTTTCTGGCAATTTTTTTTTCCTACATAGCGTATTTACAAAATCCTCCCATAGAAGAATAAAAAGCCGTATACGACCAAATGGACGCCATATAGGACAGAAGCTTATCTTTGATTCTAAGATGAGAAGGTCTAAGGGGGGCCTGGGACTTGGAGTAAAAGGACTCCAGAGCTGTGGGCCACAGAAGACTCAAAGAAGTTTCCTCAAGAGGAAATAACTCACGGATTCAGTACGACTGCTGCTGGGGGGTCGGTACGTCCAGTCTATGGTGAGTTTGTCAGTGATAGATGAAGTCGACCTGAAGGTGCATTTCAACTTGATCTTCTCTCCAACGTAACCCCGGACATGCGCATCCGCTTTAATCTCCAAGGAAAGGGCGATGTAAACACCTAATCAGAGCAAAGCCCAAACATTTAAAAGGTATGCAGCTGGGCGGGATATACAGATGTGAGTGAACAGTGCGGAGACACTATCACTTTCAGGGCTCTCGGAGTAACAAATATCTTGTCAGGCAGGCCCAAAAGGCCAAGGAGCAGATATCTGCGTTAACCAAGGAGAGTATTTTTGTCAGTTTACGATATTCAGTCACAGCATGAATGCTTGGGTAAAAATCTGAAACCTAAACACCATCTAAAACCTAAAAAATCTAAAACACCAGCATCTTTCCAAAGACAGACTGTGGTCAAATGAAGTACAAACAAGTCGGTCTGCCCACAGCAGCTGAAAGGCAAGGCCACTCACTCCCCCTCGACACACACACACATCCGCCCCACCCCCACTCCCTGCCAGGAATTATGGCAGCTGTTGTGGTCGAAGGGACTTATCCCCAAGTACAGCACAGTTGTAACCCAAAGCTACCGCTGTCTCGACCACCAGCAAAATGAGAACAGGAAACAAGAATAGCGCATTTTGTTTCAAAGAATTTTAGAAAGCTGCTCCAAGGTTCTATCTGGTTGTATTTTATTCTTCCCTCTGGTTAATGAATCCCACATCCATTAAACGTAAATCATGGGGGAAGAAAACAGAACAATTTAATGCATTCTGAAATGTAAAAATAAAGGGGCACCTGGATGGCTCAGTCGGGTAAGCGTCTGACTTGGGCTCAGGTCATGATCTCACTCTTCATGAGTTGCAGCCCCCGTGTTGGGCTCTGTGCCGACAGCTCAGAGCCTGGAGCCTGCTTCGGGGTCTGTGTCTCCCTCTCTCTCTGCCCCTCCCCCGTTCGCCCTCAGTCTCTCTCTGACCCTCAAGAATGAATAAACGTTTAAAAAAAAAAAAAACAAAACAAGATTTTAAAATGTAAAAATAAGATATCGTTTCCAAACCCTCCAGAGATTGAACTCTTTCCAAAACTGGCTCAGATATCCAAATCCGGCATCCCAGTTCCCCGGGGAAGAGCTTCCGCTTTCCTCTGACCAATCCCCTCCACGTTCAGCGAATGCAGAGGAGAAATTTATCTTCCACCAGGGAGTCATTTTTTAGGAAAGTCACCCGCACTTTGTTTTCACTGCTTCCTTCTCTACCGCAACAAGCCATGATTCTTTCGGCAGGCCAAAGGCGAACAGAGCAGCAAGGTTTCAGAAGAGCGCAAACCCACACACCAATCTGAAAACCAGCAGGCCCTCCGGTTGAGGCAAACCCCAGCTGAATTATTTGCTGGCCCTGTGGTCTTAGCAAGTTACTTTAGTCTTCAGTTTCTCACCCTGGTGGGCATGAGAATAACAGCGCTGGCCTCAGTAGGTCACTGCGAGGAATAAATGAGTGAAAATAGGTGTAACCCTGGAAAGCCTGCCTACCCCTGAATAAGCGCCCCGTGCATGTCAGATGGCTTCAACCTTATTATGGCCACCTCTTCAGTTCTGCCTACACTCTCAACCCTGCCCGTCACAGGCCCAGCTATGAGTCATCAACGCCTTCACCTCTGTCTGCTTTGAATCATTTTTCTTGCTCTTCTCAAGATAATCTAGTCTGTTCACATTCCTCTTAAAAGGAGGAGACCAAGGCTGAGCTCACAACTCGAATGAGATCTGACCCATCTCAAAGATAAGGATTACTTCTGTTTCCTCCATCGAATCCACTCTGGCTTTGCCATGCTAGATCTGTCGTTCCTTCTATGACTTTGCAAATGATGTTCCTCTGCCCCAAAAGCCTTCATCCCTCAGCCCCTACTCTCTCCTAAGCCCTCACTCCCGATCCACCTTACTCATTACTCAAGAACAAGCTCAAAAACTGGGAGCTGGAGGGGCACCTCAGTCAGTTGAGCATCCAACCTCGGCTCAGGTCATGATCTCACGGTTTGTGGGTTTGAGCCCCGCGTCGGGCTCTGTGCTGACAGCTCGGAGCCTGGAGCCTGCTCCGGATTCTGTGTCTCCCAATCTCTCTGCCCCTCCCCCACTCGCACTCTGTCTCCCTTTGTCTCTCAAAAATAAATAAATGTAAAAAAGAATTTTTTTTTTAACTGGGAGCTGAAAATGGATGGATAATCTACACTCTCCCCATACTACTCCTTTATCCTAAAACATAAGTACAGTTGAGAGATTTGAAAAGCATGGATTTCGAATTAGATAGACCTGGACCTCCGTTCTAGCCCAGCTACTTTCTAGCTGTAAGATTTGGATCACAGTTGCCTAACCTACTCAAGCTTCAGTTTCCTCACTTAGTAAATGGAAGAGCGACAAGGCCTACTTCCTTGGATCACTGCTAGGATCTAGTAAGATTAAATAAGATAACACAAAAATGCTTAGCATAGCATCTGAAATAGAATCTTTCAATAAATGTTAGCTGTTGTTATTAAATGAACACCACAAACATTCAAAAACCTTCAATAATTCCTTCTTGAGCTGTAGAATAAAATCCAAACAGTGAACAGCCTGGCCCCAAACTTCTGCTACTCCACCCACTTACCCGTCCCGTCCATCCCCTCCACCACGCCCAGAATATCCACCATTTCCCAAATTTACTAGGTCCTTTCACGCCACTGTGCCTCTCTTCGAATGTGGCATTGTCTGGAAGGCTCTCCCCATTCTTACCAATCCTGCCTGTGTGTACCACCCCCACGGTGCTCACACACCTTCAAGATCCTGTCCAAATAGCAGCCCCCTCTGTGATGCCTTCCAAGATTCATCTGGGTGCAGTTGACTGCTCTTTCTTCACTGTTTTCACAACAAATAGTACATAATGCTCCTCAGGTACATATACTGTTGATTGCCCTCAATTTATAAAGACTATTTCCCCTGTTCGTGAGCACCTTGAAGGCAAAAATTCAGAGGCAAGGGAGCAGACACAGACTGAGAGAAAGAGGTGGACAGGTCACCAGAAATTCTAGTATAGGAACCAAGTGTGCTCATTAGTCACGCAGTCTCTTCCGCTCCCCCTTTTTTACAGTATTTCCAACATTCTTAAGTCCTCTACACCCTTCTCTTTCCAGTGCACCCATTCAGGAAAAGCTCAGCCCGAGATGACCTCCTAGGCTGTGGCTGGTGTACGGTAAAGGAGAAAAATCACACAACTGCACAGATAGTTACCATGAGAAATTCACAGATTCCAACCCATAGCCGAGCCCTTAACGAAGCAGCCTTGATCAGCTCCTCTTTCGGATTCCTCACACCTTTGCCATTCTCACCATCCTCTACGCAACCTCCAAATCCCTCTTTCTCAGAAGAAAACGTTTCCTCTTACTTTTTTCAAGAAATGTGAGGCTTTACAAACTGCCCAGCCACGCATTTTCCTGCATCTACACCCACCCATACTTTCAGTCTGAAAGGGTGTGGTATCCCTTTTCCTATGCAAGGCCATCCTCTTTGGTCCTGCCTTGGAGCCCTCCCCTCCAAGCCCTGCTTCAGCAGAAAAACCCTCTCTACTATCTTCCACCTCTTCCTTTCCGGAGGGCCCTCTCCCCCCTCAGCCTCTTCGTTTCAACACAAAGAAGTCTCTCCCATCCTTAAAAATGGGTAGACAAATAACAATAAAACAAGATAATAATGATCTTCCCTTAACCCCATGATACTATGTGTTACCAGCTACTGCCCTCTCTTTCGTTTCTAACCCAAGTTTGTGAAAGAGTAGTATACACCTGGCATCTCCATTTCCCCCCTTCCCATTTCTCTTCTGGACCCCTATAGCACAATCCAGACTCCACTACCATTTCTGGTAAAGAGCATCATGTCCTAAAACTGGAAAAACTCCAATAGGTGTCCTTCTATCCTGATTTTATTGGATCTCTCTAAAGCAGTGACTGCTTGCTCCTAGACCTTCTCCATCCCAAGGCTTTCTTGACAATACACTTATTCACTCACTCACTCTTCAAACATATAGTAATTGAGCATCCATTCGTGTGCCACCCTCTGAGCCTGGAATTAACATGAGCAAAATAAATATGCTCCCTATTTTGGAGCTTAAAATACATCAAAAGTTCAACATATCAATCAAATCAATCATAAAGACAAACGTGTAATTACAAAACCTGGCGAGTACTCTGAAGCAAAGACCAAGAGAGTAGCAGAAATGCACCTATTACAGTAGGGGAGCAGGGAGTGGTTAATGAAAGCTTCCCTGAAAAAGTTGCTTTTTGAGTTGAGCTCTGAAGGAAGGGTGACAGTGAGGAGAGGGAGAGCATTCCCGGTAGAGAATACAACATATGCAAAGGTCCTGTGCCAAGTAGGAACACAGGCAGCCAAGGAACCGAAAGGAAGGCAAACAGCATGAAAGAAAGGGAGATGTGGATGGGTGGTAAGCAGGTCATACAGAACCTTAAAGATTTGGGTCCTTATTCTTAGCGTAGTGGGAAGCCATGGAAAACAGTTAAATGTGGGACTGAGTGAAAAAAGACATGATGAGGTTTTCATTTTTAAAAGATCACTCTAGGGAAGACACTGAGGAGGAGTCAAGAGTAAATATAAGGAGATTACTTAGAAAACTACTCCAATAGCCAAGTGAAAAATAAAGCTTGAACTAAGATGGTGGTAGTGGACATGGAAAGACCCAGGAAGACCATACTTACAAAGTAAAATCAGTAAGGATTGGTGGCAGACTGGTTGTGGAATGTTAGGGAAACAGTATCAAGGACGGTTCCCAGGTTTCTGACTTGGTGATACCATTCACTGACACAGGAAAGACTAGGGAAAGGAAGGGGAGAAAGCGTTAGCTTGATTTCGGATAAGTTTAATGGGCCTTTGAGATAGCCAAGAGATAATGTCAGTGGACAGTTGGTGTAGGGTGAGGGTCGGCAAACTATGGCCCACTGGCCAAATCTAGCATACGATGACTCTTTGTAAATAAAGTTTTATTAGAACACAGCCACATTTATTCATTTAGATATTGTCTAGGGCTGCTTTTGCGCTACTCAAGCCGAGGTGAGCAGTTGCAACAGAGACTTATGGCCCACAAAGCCTAAAATATTTATCCTCTATCCTTTTACAAAAGTTTGCCGGCCCTGGTTTAGAGCAAAGAAGAAATATGTGAGTTACAGTTATAAGTCAGAATCTCCTTAATGTCCCTCCAGCCCTCCAGCCAACACTCCACACTGATTGTGTCACACACACACACACACACACACACACACACACACACTCCACATGTGATTTAAGTTAACCCAAAGTATGCGTCTCAAAAAATTTGCTGGAAAGTTATTTAAAGACTCTATGCCTTATTCATGTTCCTCTCTCTGTCTGGAATTTACTTACTCTCTATCTCTAACTACTACTTCTCCTTCTCCTCCTCCTTCTTCTTTTTTTAAGTTTATTTATTTATTTGGGGCTGGGGGGGGGAGAGAGAGAGAGAGAGAGAGAGAGAATATCATCAGGGGAGGGGCAGGGAAGCGGGGGAGGGGGAGTGCGGACAAAGGATCAGAAGCAGGCTCCGCACTGACAGCACAGAGGGCTCAAACTCAGGAACCATGAGATCATGACCTGAGCCAAAGTCGGATGCTTAACCCACTGAGCCACCCAGGTGCCCCTCAACTTCTTTCAAGATTGAACTTCGGTGGCACACCCAGGAAGTCTTCCCTGTAACCTCATGGCTGATTAAGGGCATCTCTTCTGTGCTCCCACAGTTCCTTGCACATTTCTCTCTTAATACCAGATTCTAAAATTATCTATTGGCTTGTCTGTCTTCTCCAATAGAGGCTGAGCTCATTAAAACAGAACCTAGGGCATTGTGGATGCTCAGTACTATTCAACTGAACCAAATCAACACAGTTTCCTTTTTATGAAACAAAAATTCTTGCCAAACAAGCATAAAATCTACAAGTTCTGGGCAAGTTTTGGTTACTGAATTAAAGTACCCCATTAATAAGTCTACCAACAACCAATTTCTTGTTAATATATCTTAACTCCGTGTTCATTAGCATGATTTCACCACAAAGTTATCAATATGTAAAGTCACTTTACTGAAATCTAAAAATTGCATAAGTGGGTCTTAAGTATATAGAGAAAAGTAAGATCCATGGATGAATTAAACTAATGTACCTGTCTCTCCCTTGCAGGGAGAAGGGATAATGACCAGAAGGAAGTATAAGGAAGGCTTCTGGAGTACCAGTGACACTTTAAATCCTGACTTAGGTGCCAGTTACCCGGGTATGTTTAGTTTCTAAAAATTAGTTTCTAAAAATTTAGTTCCTAAAAATTAAAAGTATGTTACAATCAATAGATGTAAAATAATTTGTCTACTCTACCCAAAAAATAAAATAAAATAAAATAAAATAACTAATCCACTGTTACATTCATTCAGAAATTTTCATCCTAAACCCAATGTATTTAGGGATATTTATATTTTCTCCTGAGTAAAAAAGCATTCTTGCCAAGTCAAAATAGCCAACAATAGAAATATAACCATTAACAAGGTTTTTTTTAATCTGGGAGGAAAACAAGAATATCATGCTGAAACATATGTAATTTTATGCACAGAAGGAAAGAAAAGAATATGACAAAACAAAACTCCAAGTTTTACACACTCAACTTCCCGGAATACAAAGCTGTCAACGTTTGTTTCACAAAAGTGCACACTTAAATGGAGAAAAGTGTAAGAACCCTAGGCTGCCTAAACTATCGTTTCCATGTACTTGACAACTGATATAACGGGACTATGTTTACAAATTGGAGAATTCAAACAAGCTAATCATTTAATGGGTCCTATCTTTGAAGGGGAAAAGCAGATAAACACTGGTGTGAAACAGATTCCAAAAAATGGGTGAACTTTGAAAACATGCTAAGTGAAAAAACCTAGCCACAAAGGAATATATATTGTATGATTCTATTTATGTGAGATGTCCAGAATAGGCAAATCATTGCGGTAGAAAGTAGATTGGTGTCTGCCCCGGGGCGGGGGAAGGGAGGAATGGGGAGTGACTTAATGCATATGGAGTTTCTCTTTGGAGCTATGAAAACATTCTAAAGTTGATTATGGTGGTGATTGCACAAGTCTGTGAACACCCTAAAAAACACTCAATTGGACCTTTTAAATGGGTAAATTATGGGGCGCCTGGGTGGCGCAGTCGGTTAAGCGTCCGGCTTCAGCCAGGTCACGATCTCGCGGTCCGTGAGTTCGAGCCCCGCGTCAGGCTCTGGGCTGAAGGCTCGGAGCCTGGAACCTGTTTCCGATTCTGTGTCTCCCTCTCTCTCTGCCCCTCCCCCGTTCATGCTCTGTCTCTCTCTGTCCCAAAAATAAATAAAAACGTTGAAAAGAAAAAAAAAATGGGTAAATTGTATGGCATGTGAATTCTATCTGAATAAAGCTATGTTGAGCTTATTTATTTTGAGAGACAGCGAGAGACAGAGCGTGGAGGGGCAGAGAGGAAGAGAGAGAGAGAATCCCAAGCAGGCTCCATGTGGAGCCCCCACACGGGGGCTCAAACCCACGAACCAAACCAAGAGATCAGGGCCTGAGCCAAAGTCAGCTCTAAAAACAAAAGACAGGGACACCTGGATGGCTCAGTCAGTTAAGCATCTGACTCTTGGTTTCAGCTCAGGTCATGATCTCAGTGTTCAGGGGTTCCCGGGGCTCTGGGCTAACAGGGCAGAGACTGCTTGGGATTCTCTGTCTCCCTCTCTCTCTCTCTCTCTCTCTCTGCCCATCCCCTGCTTTCTCTCCCTCTCAAAAATAAATAAATAAACATTAAAAAATAAAATAAAAGACAAAGATAAATCAATTCAAGTACATACAGGTCACAAACTTTGAAGTTTGAATTATTTGGTCTGCTATAATTGATGGATGCTTTTCTATGTGAAATGACATCAAGTTTACGAAACCACTCATCATTTCTAGATTTTTTTTTTCTCAATAGGACGACTTTTGAATATCTGGGGGATGGGGACAGATGAAACTAGGATTACAGTAGGTCAGTCTACATATTATATTGCAAAATAATTTAGCTGAAAAACTGGACACCTGTGATGACACAGAGAGCTGGGAGGGACCAAGGAGTGTGCTGGCAACATGGATATTAGTCATCAAATAAATAAAAACTTCCTGGCCTTACATGCTAAGATTTAGAACTGATGTCTTTATGTTAAAGCCCCCCTTCAGAAATTCCCTCTTAACCACAGGGAAATTTTATGAAATTAACAATTCACTCTGATCTATTAACATACGACTTCCTGAGAAGACACACACACACACACACACACACACACACACACACACGCAGGACATAATGGCACCCTAAAACGAAGGCAATTAGGTTGGGCTGAAATTTATGCAATTTGAAAATTGCATCAAAGCAAAATGTATCCAAATCCTTAGAACGCGCCATAGCGTGAATACTGCACTTCTGATATTGGTTAATAGATTAAAATGTTAACAGAAAAGGTATGCCCTTTCTTGTAGTTTAAAAATGTCGTTAAAATGCTCCAGCAGTGGCTTTTCCTCAACCAAATGCCTCTCCAGCGTTAACGAAATCACAGCACATCCCTTCTGTGACCAATGCCCATTTTACTCCCTAGTCCCTGACAACCACCTACAAAAAACAAACGTACCAACAGTTACGACTTTCTGTCCCCAAATTACTGAGCCAAACTACTGAGCACTAGAACTGCCCCATCCTAATCAGGGCACACAGCCCACAAAACCACAGCAGGGTCAACCGCTGATAAGTCATCACAGGATAGGACGGGGTGCCCCCGAAGCCAGAGCCCTCCGTGGTTCTATGAAGTCGTGCCAGCACCACAATACAAAGCGAGTCACGCAAAGGGTCCGTCGTCCCCAGCGCTCAGGAAAAGCACTGACAGGCTGCTCAGTGGGTGGCGAATACTGGAAGAGAGCAGCCTCCCCACACCCTCACATTTCCTGCTTTGCTAGAAGCCATGTGGGGGCTTTCCTGAGACCCCCCCACACACCGGAACCGGAAAACCGACCATCTTCCCTAACCCCCCGGCCGGAAGTTGGGGGAACCAGCCGGCGCACTCACCCTGGAAGAGCAGGACGCCCAGCAGTGGGAGCAGAGCGCAGCCACGGCCTCCACCCGCTCCGCTCTGCTGCATCCCGACAGCTCTCTGGATGCTTGCACACCTTGTTTACAGCTCCCGGTAACCACACAGGTGATACCGGAAGTGACGTCAGGGCGGGAGGTCGCGAGAACGCTTCAAATGGCGATTCGAGGTTGCCATAGGAACGTGGCATCTTTCCAGGGCCACACCTGAAACTTGCTCCGACAAGCGATTCTTTTAAGTTTCGAGTAAGAATTAATTACTCCCTGTTGCTTGACGGTGAAGTAGGCCACCGACTTTGGAAAAATTACAATTTATTTGTGTGGGATTCTGCAGTACTAAATAGTCTCGATTCTGCGACTCTCTTCCAGAGGTCTTTAAATAGGTTTCTAGAGTTTTGGTTAGGAGAGATCTAGGAGATCGTACAGCATCAGTCAATAAATATGTATTAGGCCTTCATGATAAATGTGTATCTCCAGTGTCTTTAGTGCCTGGGTTTTTATGTGTTGCTGTTCGAAAGCCAGCTAAGTGCCTACGTAAATTGGGTGTTTTTATTAAACTGCCGTTCACAGTGGCAATGATGAAATCAGTACAACATGTAATAGAGGGGGAAAGGAATTGGATTTGTGTATCTTTGGGTGGGAAAAGTGAGAAAGTAATGTTTTCACCGTGCTGGAAGCTATGCGATGGTGTCACATTCTTCTAAGAGACGGGATGGTACCCTGCTACAATTGTTGGTCAACCTATTCTGGAATCTGCGTGTTTAATGAAATCAAGAGAAGAACAAAAGTCCATGTTTCAGCTTTTGGGAAGGCTTAATAACTTCATTTTTCAGTTCCCATTCCGTTACTAGATGTGAAAGCTAGTGGTTTTCTCTATGAAAAACGTGATGTTAGAGTACCAAACAGAACATAATACCCTTCCTAAGAAAGAGTACCCAGACTAAGTAGTTTGTTGTGCCCAATTCCCAGTTATCCGAAGCAATGTAGAATTCTTTATCCAGTATAAACATTTATTTATCCAGTATAAACTAATTTCACCCATTATTGACTTTCAGGCTCTAAGAAAATTTCTCAGTAATGATAAAATACATAACCATGTGTTTTTGAGTACTTGCTGTGTAAACTTTTTAGATTTGTATGTAAGCAAATTATACAATTGATAATTCTTTACTACTAAAGGTTATTTACATATGTGTTTAGGCACAATAAAAAATAAATTACCATACAAAAGTTCTCTTTAGGAAAAAGATACTGAACAATAGGGTCATATTAACCCCTGAATATTTAGCCAAGACACAAGCTACAAGTTTTGCTGAAAAGATTTTCCATGAGGTTTTAACTACTTCATTATACTTTTGGGACACCATTCAGGCCATCTGTTTGAAAAAAATATTGTTATTTTCAAAGGTTGAATTATGGAGAAAAGTACAAAATGTAACTTAAAAGTAATATAGACCTGAAAGCCAACTTTTAGTTTTGGGGCACCTGGGTAGCTCAGTCGCTTAAGCATCTGACTTCAGCTCAGGTCATGATCTCATAGTTCCTAAGTTCAGGCCCCACATCACGCTGCACTGACAGCGTGGGCCCTGCTTCGAATCCTGTCTCCCCTTTCTCTCTGCCCCTCCCCTGCTAGCTTATACTCTCTCTCAAATAATAATAATAATAAATACTTTTAATGTAACTTTTAGTTTCCAAATTGGGTGTTAAAATTTTACTTTTTTCATGTAAAAGGCAAAATGAGATAGGTAGAGAATGAATGCAGAATCAAGGTTCATATGAATATTGTACCAATTTTTCTAAAAATACTAGAAAAAAATATTCAAAGTTCAGCATATTTAAATACAGATAACCTATTTGAAAATTCCAGTTTGTTAAAAGAAAGAACATCTTTGGCCCAGTCAGTGAAAACTGAAGTTATTAGGCTATAAAGATGGGGCAGGGGTGGGGGCAACTAAACTTTCAGATGTTTTCTATTTTTTTAATAAATGCTGCTATAACTTAAGTTTGGAAAGACACTGGGAGGTTAAACACTTTTGAAAAAGCACTTTTCTTTCCATAGCCTACTTATAAAGTTTGCTGTCTCTACTGGCATAAGGGAAGAAAGAATAAAGTTGGTTTCATATTGTTAGTTTTGGTATTTCTTTGCCCCATACCAAATCCTCCCTCCCTCAAAACAAGCAAATTAAAGCAAAAATAAAATAATATAAAGAAAAGGAAAGGAAAGGGGAAAAAAATAATCTCATCCAGTTCTCCCAGCTTTATATAACACTGTACAAAATTATCATCACTTAGGCTTGATTTTTTTCACCAGCCCTAAATTTTTATAGTCATAATATACTATTCCAGAACCTTCTGTGTAACTGCTTGAGGATTCCAGTCTGCAAAAGAGCACAGATTTTGCTCTGTTGTTATAACTGAACAGTAAGCTGAACAGTATCCACTGCTCACGGAAGACTTGCTCTGTTGGTTGTTTTTTCGGAACACAGAGAAAAAAGGTGACAAGTGATTCATCCTGAGGTGGCATCTGTCAATCCATAAGCATTTACATAAACTCTTCTAGTTACTCTGTGATTTAGATTTGTGCTAATTATAAATGTGGGATCAACCAAAACAGACAATCATCTGGGATACTGAAAGAAATTCAATAAAACAAGATGTGTCCCATACTCAAGGAGAGCCATAAAAATCAAACTGTTGAACGGGATTTAGGGTTTCCTGTTAATTGATCAAAAACGGCGGAGAGAATTGGCTCATCTTTTAGTTGAGACTGAGAAGGAAAAAGTAAACACATTAACCTTAGCAGCAAGAGCGCTGCTCTGAAGAAACTAATACATTAAAGGAAATGTCATGACTGACAAGATGGCTTTCATCTCATTTGACACCAATGGGCGTGCATACAATTAATAATCCCCAAGGAGTGTTCAAGGGCAAAAATGTAGTTTCTCAGTATAAAAAGCTCATGAGCATTTGAAAAGTATTTGCACTCTGAAATTAAATAAAACCGTAGTGATGGGCTGTGTGTGAGTCTCCCGGTATCAGCTCAAGAGGGCCCTGGGCCTATGCTGGCTCCAGAGAGAGACGTTGCTTCTCTGGGTGGTTATGTGCTGCAGGGCTGGTTGGAAGACAAGTCACAACTGGTAAAGCCAAAGAAAAGCTTCCATTAACTTCAGCTTATCCTAGGGTGCTTGTTCTTGGGAATCTTCAGCTTCCTGAAATACAGAAGTGTAAATGGATTATTCACGTGGGAAGAGTGCATAGAGGTAACATGGAATTCCGAATTACATCTATTTTATCGAATGTGCTCTTCACTGTGAAGGAAACTATTCTCAAACGTACTTGTTCTCCTTCTAATTCAACTTTTAGAATATGTTTCCCGTTCCTTAACTACATCGCTCTCAGTGTCCTTAATTCATAGCTTCTGCCTTGCACAGACACTCAGATGATCTATAGCTCGATCACACACATGCATGCCTTCTCTCTCTCTCTCTCTCTCTCTCTCTCTGCCCCTCCCCCACTCTTTTATATAAAAAAAATCAAGCACACAGAAGAATAGAAAAGACAGTGTATAGAATTCACCTGTCACCTAATTTTAAAGCATTTTTTGCCTTATTTTCCCAATATTTATTTGGTACTTTATTATATATAAATACATATATAAATTTATATATAACAAATGTATATATGTATTTATTTATATATAATAAAAAAACAAATATAGGGAAAATAAATTTATATATAACAAATGTATATATAAATTTACATATAATAAATATATATAAATACATATTTAAAATAGGAACATTTTCCTCTATAACCACAATACCTTTATTATACCTAATAAAATTAACAGTAATTCCCTAATATTATCCATATTCAAATTTTCATATTCAAGACTCCCAATTGTCCCCCTCCTAATCTTTTTACAACTACTTTGTTCAAACTAGTATCCATCCAGTCAGGACATCCCGTCACAATGCACTTGATCATGTGAGTTCCTTAAAATTTCTTCTCGGGGCGCCTGGGTGGCGCAGTCGGTTAAGCGTCCGACTTCAGCCAGGTCACGATCTCGCGGTCCGTGAGTTCGAGCCCCGCGTCGGGCTCTGGGCTGATGGCTCAGAGCCTGGAGCCTGTTTCCGATTCTGTGTCTCCCTCTCTCTCTCTGCCCCTCCCCCGTTCATGCTCTGTCTCTCTCTGTCCCAAAAATAAATAAACGTTGAAAAAAAAAAATTTTTTTTCTTCTCATCTCAGGGCGCTTGGGTGGCTCAGTTAGTTAAGCATCTGACTTCGGCTCAGGTCATGATCTCACAGTTCATGGGTTAGAGCCCATGGGTTGAGTTCATGGGTCTGAGCTGCCCGCTGTCAGCGCAGAGCCTACTTGGGATTCTCTCTCTCTTCCTCTCTCTCACTCTGCCCCTCTCCCCCTCTCTCTCTCTCAAAATAAATAAACTTTTTAAAAAGTTTCTTTTCATCTCCATCTTCATTTTCCATGACCCGGACTTGCTAGAGAATCTTCTTGGTTTTTTTGTCTTTGTTTATTTTATTTTTAATGTTTGTTTATTTTTGAGAGAGAGACAGAGCGTGAATGGGGAAGAGGCAAAGAGAGGGAGACACAGAATCCAAAGCAGGCTCCAGGCTCTGAGCTGTCAGCACACAGCCCAATGTGGGGTTCGAACTCATGAACTGTGAGATCATGAGCTGAGCCAAAGTCAGACATTTTAACGGACTGAGCCACCCAGGTGCCCCAAGAATCTGCTTGGTTTTTAAAAGACAATAGCCCTTGGTAAAATCTCTCTGATACCAAATTTGTTCTTCTGGGTTTACAATAGAATCATTTTTCTCCATATTCGATTTTATAAGTCCTTGAGACTTTTCACTGAGACTTTAGGCTATAAAAATATGACTCTTTTTGAAAATAATAATAGCAGGCCTATTCCAGAGAATAGAAAAAATTCTGATCATATGAAAAATAAGTCATCGTATTTTTTAAGCATAATAAGCCTGAAAACTGGTTAAATAAAATTACACACTACTAAAATGGGATTCATATTCCCAATAACTAGATGAAAGGAGTTGAAATCAATTCCAAATAGTATAAAAGTTCTCCTGCTAAAATGTCAGGCCATGTCAGGGTTCCTGGGTGGCTCAGTTGGTTAAGCATCCAACTTTGGCTCAGGTCATGATCTCACGGTTCAACAGTTTAAGCCCAATGTCGGGCTCTGTGCTGACAGCTCAGAGTCTGGAGCCTGCTTCCGATTCTGTGTCTCCCTCTCTCTCTGCCCCTCCCCCGCTCATGCTCTCTCTCTCTCTCTCTCTCTCTCTCTCTCTCAGTCTCTCTCAAAAATAAATAAACGTGAAAAAAATTTAATAAATAAAAAATAAAGATTTATTTACATGTTGAAAGTTAATTTATTATTCGTGGTCATGGTAAACATAACCACAAAGCCTCATATAATCTTAGAATTTTCCATCTTCAATGGCAGTAGGGTCTAACTCCCTCATCCTTTGCACAAAACATACTGAAAGGGGAAGTCATCCATAACACTAATAGAAGACTTTCATCTCCCTGACCCAGCTCCTCTAACTTCACGTAGAAAACACCTAACAGTCCTAAAATCTGGAGGATCCACATTAGAGATGGGCCAGACAAGGAAGCTAAGGAAAGAAATCAACTCATTTATGAACCTCACCATCTAAGAATGTCAGTCTGCGTCTTCTAAATAAACAGAGACCTTTTTATCTTGGTTGAGCTTTTCCTCTTCTTTTCTGTAACAAAGAAGCAGAAACCAATGTTAACAAGCAAGGGAGGTTAAAAAAAAAAAAAAAAGCAAGGGAGGCAAATCTTACAAAGCTACAATTGATGTATTTTCTCCCATGTTTTGGGTAGAATTATATGCATCTGGGAATAGATCCAAAGTTACCACTAGTGCCGTCTAAAAATACACATACTTCCACATGACCCTGGGTATCTGAACTTTGACATGTTTCAGAATATTTTTGGAGGGAAATACAATTTGGGAACTTGAATAAACCTTAGTTTATCATTAGTATGCTGCCTCTAATTCCATTCCTTATTCAGAAAATACAAAGTTTTATGTTGACCTAGAAGTCATCTTTATTGCTTATATTCTATTTAAGCCCTAACCTCAGAGTTGGGCTCATTGAGCTTCTTCAAATCAATTCCATTTTACTCCAGTAAATATTACTTGCGGGAAAAAAAGTGATGGTGCTGGGACAACTCAAGGACTTCAACTGCAAAAGGATGAATTTGGACTCCCACTTCACTCCATGTGCAAAAATTAACTCGACATGAACCAAAGACCTACTGTAAGAGTTAAAACTGTAAAGCTCTTAGAAGAAAACATAAACTTTCATGACTTTGGATTAGGCAATGGATTCTTTTTTTTTTTTTAATGTTTATTTTTTTTTTGAGAAAGAGAAACACAGAGTGTGAGTTGGGGGGTGACAGAAAGAGGAGACACAGAATCTGAAACAGGCTCCAGGCTCTGAGCTGTCAGCACAGAGCCCGACGCGGGGCTCGAACTCACGAACACTGAGATCATGACCTGAGCCAAACTCAGATGCTTAACACTTAATCCTGGCACCCCGGCACCAGATTCTTAGATATGACACCAATAGCAGAAGCAACACAAGAAAAAAATAGATAAATTATACTTCATCAAAACTAAAAAGGTCTGTGCTCCAGAGGACATGAAAAAGAAAGTGAAAGGGCAACCCACAAAGGACAAATAACCCAATTTTAAATGGGCAAGATATTTGAATAGATAGATCTCCAAATAAGATATACAAATGGCCAACAAACACATGGCAAGATGCTCAACATCATTAGTCATTAAGAAAATGCAAATCCAAACCTCAGGGAGATAACACTCCACACCCATCGGCTGGCTATCATCAAAAGGTCAAACAATAACAAGGGTTGTCAAGGATATGGACAAATTGGAATGTTGCTGGTGGAAACATACGATGGTGTAACTGTTTTGTAAAACAGTCTGGCAACGCTTCAAAAAGGTTAACAGAGTAACCATACATTCCAGCAATTCCACTCCTAGGTATAATATACCCATGAAAACTGAAAACATGCCTACACAAAAACTTATAAATAAATATTCATAGCACCATTAGTCGTGTTGGCCAAAGAGTAGAGAAAATCTAAATGTCCATCGAATGAATGGATAAGCAAACTGTGGTATATATACATGCAATGGAATATTACACAGCCATAAAAAGGAACAAAGTGCCATACGTGGACGAACGTTGAAAATATTATACTAAGTCAAGAAGCAGACATAAAAGGCCACGTCGGATGATTCTCCATTTATACGAAATGTCCAGAATAGGTGTAGGAATGCTGGCCATACTGCCTCCACCTTTGCCCTACCGTCTTGCTGTTGTCTGCTCGATGACCTCGTCAGGGATACATGTTCTAGAGTAATGTATAAGATGTAAAAGGTTAATGTACAAACTCTAGGCTCACCTTCTAAAACCAGAATGTCCAGGGAATCTGTTCTGGATTTCAATGGGCCCATTAAGATACCAGTGCAGATAACATAGTTTTCTGCAAACGCATGGATGGTGCCATAAGGTCTGCTAGACATTAGCCACCAGTCACGTATATGCAAACACTGCCCCGCACGTCCAGCTCCTTTAAAACCAGTAAGCTAAAACGCAGGGCTTTCTGAGGAGACTGGCTGCGCAGCTGTCCAGATGGAGGTCCTCCTGATCCTCCCTGGCAGGAAGTCACTTAACATAGAACTCTGCGTATTCTGTATCTCTTCCAGTTTCAGAGTGCCTTCTCAGTCT